TTTATGACATCGAGGCGGGGCAGGTGGTTATCAGCCGCGATGTCAACTTCGACGAGTCCACCTTTGGACTTCAACTGCCGATCACTGATGAAGATGTCGATGACCTGGACTTCGAATTGCTGGATCTTGATGACGAAGAGCTGCGTCAAATGGAGTACAAGCAAACAGGCAAGCGCAAGAACCGACTCAATGATGAAGATACAGCAGCTCCACGACCGCGTGCAGTGCGTCAACGACCAGGACTAGAAGAGTCAAGCGCGCCGGAAAACAACTCGTCACGACAAGAAGAAGACGAAGAAACGAAGGATTCTGGTGATTCAACACCGCCTGTGTTTTGGCGTGCGAGTGCAAATGCCGTTGAAGCAGCAGTGGACTTATCAGAACCCTCAACATTTGAAGCAGCAGTAAGCGGCCCTGACCAAGTGCACTGGAGAAAAGCAATTCATGCAGAGCTCGAGTCAATGCGACTTCGCGGTGTGTTTCGTGCAGCCAAGCTGCCCAACGGACAACGCGCCATTGGCACAAAATGGGTGTTCAAGATCAAGCGCAAGGCGGATGGGTCAATCGAGAAGTACAACGCACGACTTGTGGCCAAGGGTTTCCGCCAAAAGTATGGCATCGACTACACGGAGACGTTTTCGCCTGTGGTCAAGTATGTGACGCTGCGAATGGTGATCGCAATTTCCAAGCATTTTGGATGGCCCATCGACCAGCTTGATGTGGTGACAGCTTTCCTGTATGGCGTCATGAAGGAACAAGTGTTCTGCGTGATTCCTGAAGGCGTCGAACTTGACAGTACGTTCGACTGCCTGGAATTGGTGAAGTCAATTTACGGCCTCAAGCAAGCGTCGCGAGTGTGGAACGAGACGTTCGACGAGTATGTGTGCTCCATCGGATTTCAAGTATCGGACTTCGACCCATGTCTCTACATCAAGACTTCGGACGGCCATTGCGTGTTTATACTGGTCTACGTGGACGACGTCTTGGTGACTGGAAGCTCACTCGAGCTGATTGCACAAACCAAGAACGACCTGAAGACGCGGTTCAGAAATGACGGACAGCGGCAAGTGTGCGTTTGTTCTTGGGATCGAGCTTTTGGACGGTGAAGATGGCAGTGTGACACTATGTCAGCGTCGGTATGTCGATGATATCCTCAAGCGCTTTGGCATGGATGATTGCAAGGCAGTCGCAAGTCCAGTCGACATGAGCTCTCGACTTGTTTCAAGTGATGCAACTACCAAGGTCGATGCTCCTTTTCGCGAAGCTGTTGGTGCGTTGATGCACCTGACCACTGCAACGCGTCCGGACATTGCGTTTGCTGTGGGCTATGTGTCGCGGTTCATGGAAAATCCCCAAGAAGAACACTGGGTTGCAGTTAAGCGTATCTTTCGCTACCTACAAGGCACCAAGACGCATGGAATTTGCTACAAGCCAAGTGCAAGGATCGACTTCCGTGGATATTCGGATGCGGATTGGGCTGGTGATCTTACCGACCGCAAGTCAACATCGGGGTACACGTTCATGCTACTCGGTGCGCCAGTCAGTTGGGGCAGCAAGAAGCAGCCAAGTGTTTCGTTGTCCGGGGGGAGGGGGAGCAATTCGTCCTCAGCTTGGCGATTCAAGAGGGCAAGTGGATTCATCGTCTGCTTTGTGAGATCATGATGGCTGCCAATGAAGAAGGACCGGAGCTCATGATACATGAAGACAATCAGTCGTGTATCAAGATGACGAAGAACCCAGTCAACCACGGCCGTGCCAAGCACATTGATATCAAGTACCATCACATCCGTGATGAGGTCAAGCGCGGTGAAGTGAAGCTCAAGTACTGTGAAACTGCGGTGATGTTAGCGGACATCATGACGAAGGGACTTCACGGGCCACGCCACAAGGAGATGACGGCGACTCTCGGGATTCGTGAGCATTCGGATTGAGGGGGCGTGTTGACGGTCATCGGTTTTCTACCAGTATTGGTAACCGTGACCGATCCAATCCGAACCGCCTGTTCAGCTTAGTATTTACGACGTAGTTCTTACGGTAATTACCATAGTTGATTAGACGCGTAGGATGATGAGACGCTTCACATGATTTATATGTACACCACATATAAATCATGTAGTAAGTAGTAAGCCCCGATAATCAATCACTTTCGAATCTTCCAACTATTGGGCAAGTGTTTTCTGCTCTACTCTCTTCGGTCTCTCCGCTCCGTTCGCTCCGCTTTCCTCGCTCCGATCTACAATGCAACACCGACTATATTCAAGTCGGCGATGGAATCAAGCGACTCCGGCAAGTGGAAAGAAGCGTGTGACTCGGAGTTCGATTCGCTTCAGAGAAACGACACGTGGGAAATCGTGCCTCTTCCGAAAGGTCGCAAGGCCATCGGGTGCCGATGGGTTTTTCGTGTAAAGGAGAATCAAGATGGCGAAGTTGAACGTTTCAAGGCAAGACTTGTGGCCAAAGGATTCTCACAGAAATTCGGAGTTGACTATGAAGAAACTTTCGCACCGGTGGCCAAGTTCACATCGATTCGTGTGGTGCTCAGTATGGCCGCTGAGTACGGCCTAATGCTACATCAGATGGACGTCAATGTTGCATTGTAGATCGGAGCGAGGAAAGCGGAGAGAACGGAGCGGAGAGACCGAAGAGAGTAGAGCAGAAAACACTTGCCCAATAGTTGGAAGATTCGAAAGTGATTGATTATCGGGGCTTACTACTTACTACATGATTTATATGTGGTGTACATATAAATCATGTGAAGCGTCTCATCATCCTACGCGTCTAATCAACTATGGTAATTACCGTAAGAACTACGTCGTAAATACTAAGCTGAACAGGCGGTTCGGATTGGATCGGTCACGGTTACCAATACTGGTAGAAAACCGATGACCGTCAACACGCCCCCTCAATCCGAATGCTCACGAATCCCGAGAGCCGTCGTCATCTCCTTGTGGCGTGGTCCATGAAGTCCCTTCGTCATGATGTCCGCCATCATCACGGAAGTCTCGCAATACTCGAGCTTCACTTCACCGCGCTTGACCTCATCACGGATGTGATGGTACTTGATATCAATGTGCTTGGCACGGCCGTGGTTGACTGGGTTCTTCGTCATCTTGATACACGACTGATTGTCTTCATGGATCATGAGTTCCGGTCCTTCTTCATTGGCAGCCATCACGATCTCACAAAGCAGACGATGAATCCACTTGCCCTCTTGAATCGCCAAGCTGAGTGCGATGTATTCGACTTCACTCGTGGACAACGAAACACTTGGCTGCTTCTTGCTGCCCCAACTGACTGGTGTTGCAATTTGAGCGCGAGGCGAAGAGAAAACGAAGCGGAGAGACCGGAGAGAACGAAGCAGAGAACACTTGCTCACTTGAGGGAGGATTCGAAAGTGATTGATTTATAGGTCTTAACTTCTGCCTACCCTAGACTGCATCCAATCACATGGTGCATCTAATCAACCTGATTTACACGCGTCCAATCATCCTACGCGTCTAATCATCTCTGAGGTAATTACCGATGTAAAAACTATCTCGTAAGAACTACGCGCTAGGTTCGGATTGTACCGGTAACCCTCAATACGCCCCCTCAATCCGAACACGCACGGATGCCAAGCGCCGCCGTCAAGTCCTTGTGACGCGGTCCGTGAAGTCCCTTCGTCATGATGTCCGCCAACATCAACGTCGTCTCGCAGTATTCAAGCTTCACTTTGCCGCGCTTGACTTCATCACGGATGTGATGGTACTTGATGTCGATGTGTTTAGCGCGGCCGTGGTTGACCGGATTCTTCGTCATCTTGATGCACGACTGGTTGTCTTCACGGATGACGAGCTCGGGTCCTTCTTCGTTTGCAGCCGCCATGATCTCGCACAGCAAGCGATTGATCCACTTGCCTTCTTGGATCGCCAGGCTGAGCGCGATGTACTCCGCTTCGCTTGTAGACAGTGACACACTTGGCTGTTTCTTGCTGCCCCAACTCACCGGAGCACCCAATAGCATGAAGACGTAGCCGGACGTCGATTTGCGATCAGCAAGGTCACCGGCCCAGTCTGCATCTGAATAGCCACGAAAGTCGATCTTCGCACTTGGCTTGTAGCAGATTCCATGCATCTTGGTGCCTTGTAGGTAGCGGAAGATGCGCTTGACTGCAACCCAGTGTTCTTCTTGGGGTTTCTCCATGAACCGTGACACAAAGCTTACAGCATAGGCGATGTCCGGTCGCGTTGCAGTCGTCAGATGCATCAAAGCACCCACTGCTTCACGGAATGGGACATCCACCTTGCTTGCAGAGTTGCTTGGAACCAGTCGAGAGCTGACGTCCACCGGACTTGCCACAGCCTTGCACTCATCCATTCCAAAGCGCTTGAGGACATTGTCGACATAACGGCGCTGACACATAGTCACGCTGCCATCTTCACCGTCCAATAACTCGATCCCAAGAACAAAGGCACACTTGCCGCTGTCCGTCATCTCGAAGCGTGTCTTGAGGTCGTTCTTGGTGCGCGCAATCATCTCGAGCGAGCTTCCAGTCACCAAGACATCGTCCACGTAGACCAGCACAAAAACACAATGGCCTTCCGAAGTCATGATGTAGAGACATGGATCGAATCCCGACGCTTGAAAACCAATCGAGCGTATGAACTCGTCGAAGGTCTCGTTCCAAACACGCGAGGCTTGCTTGAGACCGTAGATCGCCTTGATCAGCTCGAGACAGTCGAAATCACCTTCCATCTTGACGCCTTCCGGAACAGCGCAGAACACCTTCTCCTTCATCACTCCATACAGGAACGCAGTCACCACATCGAGCTGGTCGAGGGGCCATCCAAAGTGCTTGGTAATGGCGATGACCATTCGCAGCGTCACATACTTGACCACGGGCGAGAACGTCTCCGTGTAGTCGATGCCATACTTTTGGCGAAAACCCTTGGCCACAAGTCGTGCCTTGTATTTCTCGATCGACCCACCCGCCTTGCGCTTGATCTTGAAGACCCACTTTGTGCCAATGGCGCTTTGTCCGTTGGGTAACTTGGCCGCACGAAAGACACCGCGAAGCTTCATCGAATCGAGCTCCGCATCAATTGCCTTGCGCCAGTGTACTTGGTCCGGGCCAGACACTGCTTCTTCAAATGTCGACGGCTCCGAAAAATCGACCGCTGCTTCGACGGCGTTTGCACTCGCATGCCAAAACGCGGAGGAAGTCGGTGTGTCATGTTGTTCCTCCGACTTCCTTTCTTCATCTTCGTTGGCTCGACGTGAAGAGAGGTCATCCGGCGCACTTGACTCTTCCAATCCGGGTCGTTGGCGCACTGCTCGGGGCATGCTTGCGTCGTCATTGTCGTGACTGGGTTGGGCCTTGCGCTTTCCTGTTTGTTTGAAGTGTCTCGGACGCGGTTCTTCATCATCAAGATCGATCGATTCGAAGTCCAGGCCATCAACATCGTCATCGGAAATCAGCATCGACATTCCAAAGGCCGACTCATCGAAGTTGACATCGCGACTTATCATCACCTGCCCCGCTTCAATGTCGTAAACTCGATACGCCTTGGACACTTCTTCGTAGCCCAAAAACAATCCAGCCCGGGCCTTGGGATCCCACTTGAGTCGTTTCTCCTTCGGGGTCAAGATGTATGCTTGGCACCCAAAAACGCGCATGTGCTTGACACTTGGCTTAGAATTGTAGACAATCTCGAACGGTGTCTTGTGTGGAATCTTGGGTGACGGCAAACGGTTCTTCACATAGACGGCCGTCATTGCCGCTTCAGCCCAGAAGCACTTGTCCAACTTGGCATGATGGAGCATGCTACGACCGATGGTGACGATAGTTCGAATCGCGCGTTCAGCAGTTCCATTGGCTTGATGTGCGTATGGCACCGTGGTTTGTTGCTCGATGCCTTCGACTTCGTAGAAATCTTGAAGCGAGTTCGTCGCAAACTCGCGGGCTCCATCGTGTCGCACAAATTTGACCTTCTTGTTGAACTGCGTCTGTATCATCGTGATGTACTTCTTGATGCACTCTTCGCTCTCTGACTTGGAATGCAGACAAAAACCCTTCATGCATCCGCTGGCTTCATCCACGATCAGCAGCAGATACTTGCTGCCACCCAGAGATTTTTCTTCCATGGGTCCGCAGATGTCGAAGTGGAGCATCTCGAAGGTGTTGTAGGTGCGCTTGTCACGGTTGCTCGGGAATGGTTTTTGGACCATCTTCCCTTCTTGGCATCCTCGACACACACTTGATCCATTCGGCTTGGAAGGGATGTGAGCGTCCTTGATCATGTGGCTTGTCACCATCCTGCGAAGCACGTCGACTGGAGCATGGCCCATTCGCGCATGTAGATCAACAGCGTTGCTGAGTGATGTCGCATTGGCCGATCGCTGCGTCGTGCGAAGCCAGTAGAGTCCGTCTACAAGATCCGCAGCTGCCACCACTTGGTTGGAATCCTTGCGAGCGACGTACATCGTATCCCCGTCAAACACCACTTGGAAGTTGCCGTGCTTGTTAATCTGCGGCACCGAGAGCAGATTTTTGCTCATGCTGGGCACATAGAGCGCGTTCATGATCTCGATCTCGCGCTCTTCCCCGTTTGGCAGAATCACCTTTTCCACGATGGTCCCCACACCTTTGATGGCCGCCTTGTTGCCATCAGCCACCAGGATCTCGCCATCATTGCCTTCGACCAAGCTTGCAAACTTGAACTTGTCGTGGCAGATGTGATGTGTTGCCCCGCTGTCAACGGCCCACATTCCTGGTCCATTCTTGTTCGTCGAAACTCCGCATTCGAACGAAACTGCAAACGCCACTCGATCGTAGCTGTTGCCTTCATCATAATGTCGCCACTGGACATTGTTTGCCCCGCGTCCACGACCATTGCCGCCGCGTTGGGCTCCTCGACTTTCATCCTTTTGCTTCGTCCAGCAACGCTCTGCCGTGTGCCCCACCTTGCCGCAGTATGTGCATTGGTAGGGCTTGCGCTCGGTACTGAATGCCTTTGTCGCATCTTCAGTCTTCACCGTTGTCGTTGCCGTTGTCATCTTCTCGCCTTGTCGCTTGATGTGCTCGTTAGTCAGCACCTTGACCACATCTTGCGTGCGCAGCTCTGCATTACTCATCTCCAAGTTCAGAACCACGTTCTCGAAACTCTTCGGGAGACTGAGCAGCAAGCAGATCGCAATGTCTTCGTCTTCCATCTTGGCACCGATGCTGCTGAGCTTGGCGCCGATGTTCAAGACTTCGTTGCAATGGTGCAAGACGTTGGCACCTTCCGCCATCTTGATGCTGAACAGCTGGCGCTTGAGGTAGATGCGTCCCGCCTTCTGCGACCCACCATAGAGCATCTTCAACCGCGACCACGCTGTCCATGCTTCTTCACAGTTGTCGACCACATGGTGGTAGTCGGCGTCCATGTGGAGCAACATCAACCCGAACGCGATGTTGCTCGCCTTGACGTACTCGTCGGAAGCTCGCGTGTCGGTGAAGGTTGGAGACGTTTCGCGGTTCACGACGTACCAGACTGACTTCGTCAGAAACATGCCGCGCATGTAGCGACACCAGGTCGAGTAGTTGTCCCCATCGAACTTATCGATGGAGACACTGGCCGAGGTGTTGTTGGATGACATGGCGCTTGGGCTCATAACCTGTTGCAATTTGAGCGCGAGGCGAAGAGAAAACGAAGCGGAGAGACCGGAGAGAACGAAGCAGAGAACACTTGCTCACTTGAGGGAGGATTCGAAAGTGATTGATTTATAGGTCTTAACTTCTGCCTACCCTAGACTGCATCCAATCACATGGTGCATCTAATCAACCTGATTTACACGCGTCCAATCATCCTACGCGTCTAATCATCTCTGAGGTAATTACCGATGTAAAAACTATCTCGTAAGAACTACGCGCTAGGTTCGGATTGTACCGGTAACCCTCAATAACTGGCGCACCGAGTAGCATGAACGTGTACCCCGATGTTGACTTGCGGTCGGTAAGATCACCAGCCCAATCCGCATCCGAATATCCACGGAAGTCGATCCTTGCACTTGGCTTGTAGCAAATTCCATGCGTCTTGGTGCCTTGTAGGTAGCGAAAGATACGCTTAACTGCAACCCAGTGTTCTTCTTGGGGATTTTCCATGAACCGCGACACATAGCCCACAGCAAACGCAATGTCCGGACGCGTTGCAGTGGTCAGGTGCATCAACGCACCAACAGCTTCGCGAAAAGGAGCATCGACCTTGGTAGTTGCATCACTTGAAACAAGTCGAGAGCTCATGTCGACTGGACTTGCGACTGCCTTGCAATCATCCATGCCAAAGCGCTTGAGGATATCATCGACATACCGACGCTGACATAGTGTCACACTGCCATCTTCACCGTCCAAAAGCTCGATCCCAAGAACAAACGCACACTTGCCGCTGTCCGTCATTTCGAACCGCGTCTTCAGGTCGTTCTTGGTTTGTGCAATCAGCTCGAGTGAGCTTCCAGTCACCAAGACGTCGTCCACGTAGACCAGTATAAACACGCAATGGCCGTCCGAAGTCTTGATGTAGAGACATGGGTCGAAGTCCGATACTTGAAATCCGATGGAGCACACATACTCGTCGAACGTCTCGTTCCACACTCGCGACGCTTGCTTGAGGCCGTAAATTGACTTCACCAATTCCAGGCAGTCGAACGTACTGTCAAGTTCGACGCCTTCAGGAATCACGCAGAACACTTGTTCCTTCATGACGCCATACAGGAAAGCTGTCACCACATCAAGCTGGTCGATGGGCCATCCAAAATGCTTGGAAATTGCGATCACCATTCGCAGCGTCACATACTTGACCACAGGCGAAAACGTCTCCGTGTAGTCGATGCCATACTTTTGGCGGAAACCCTTGGCCACAAGTCGTGCGTTGTACTTCTCGATTGACCCATCCGCCTTGCGCTTGATCTTGAACACCCATTTTGTGCCAATGGCGCGTTGTCCGTTGGGCAGCTTGGCTGCACGAAACACACCGCGAAGTCGCATTGACTCGAGCTCTGCATGAATTGCTTTTCTCCAGTGCACTTGGTCAGGGCCGCTTACTGCTGCTTCAAATGTTGAGGGTTCTGATAAGTCCACTGCTGCTTCAACGGCATTTGCACTCGCACGCCAAAACACAGGCGGTGTTGAATCACCAGAATCCTTCGTTTCTTCGTCTTCTTCTTGTCGTGACGAGTTGTTTTCCGGCGCGCTTGACTCTTCTAGTCCTGGTCGTTGACGCACTGCACGCGGTCGTGGAGCTGCTGTATCTTCATCATTGAGTCGGTTCTTGCGCTTGCCTGTTTGCTTGTACTCCATTTGACGCAGCTCTTCGTCATCAAGATCCAGCAATTCGAAGTCCAGGTCATCGACATCTTCATCAGTGATCGGCAGTTGAAGTCCAAAGGTGGACTCGTCGAAGTTGACATCGCGGCTGATAACCACCTGCCCCGCCTCGATGTCATAAACACGATATGCCTTCGAAACTTCTTCGTAGCCCACGAATATGCCAGCGCGAGCCTTTGGATCCCACTTGAGTCGATTCTCTTTAGGCGTCAGTATGTATGTCTGACACCCGAATGTTCGCATGTGCTTGACGCTTGGTTTCAAGTTGTAGACGATCTCAAACGGGGTCTTGTGCACGACTTTAGGTGACGGCAGTCGATTCTTGACGTAGATGGCCGTCATCGCTGCTTCGGCCCAGAAACACTTGTCCAGTTTGGCATGATGAAGCATGCTGCGGCCGATCGTGACAATAGTCCTAATGGCACGCTCTGCTGTTCCGTTTGTTTGATGTGCATACGGCACCGTTGTCTGCTGTTCAATGCCTTCGTCTTCGTAGAACAGTTGAAGCGAGTTGGTTGCAAACTCGCGAGCTCCGTCGTGTCGCACGAACTTGACCTTCTTACAGAATTGCGTCTGTACCATGGTGATATATTTCCGGATGTAGTCTTCACTCTCGGACTTCACTCGTAGACAAAAGCCCTTCATGCATCCACTGGCTTCGTCGATGATCAGCAGCAAATATTTGCTGCCACCGAGCGAATCCTTTTCCATGGGCCCGCAGATGTCCAGATGAAGTAGCTCAAACGTATCGTAGCTGCGCTTGTCTCGGTTGCTTGGAAATGGTTTTTGGACCATTTTCCCTTGTTGACATCCTCGACATGTAGTTGCTCCACCCGACTTGAGAGGGACTCGCACATCCTTGATCATGTTGGTCGCGATCATCTTGCGAAGTACATCGACTGGAGCATTGTTGAAAAGACAGCGGCTGTGAAGAAGACACCTCGTCAAGCTGCGTCAAGTGTTGAAGCAAGTGGAAGACCAAGCTTCGCTATACCGGTGGGTACCGGTATGTACCAGTAAGGGCGAAGTCAGGAAATGACGTCACTGGATGACGTCATTGCATGACGTCAGTGGGTGACGTCAGTGGGTGACGTCACTGGATGACGTCACTGCGAATAATAGGCTTAGAGGTAGTATTCAAAGTTGCGAACTAAGTACCTATTATAAATATATATTCACTTTGCGTTTTGCACTCGGACCAAGAAGTCTAAAGTTCATCAGGTTATGAGCCCAAGTTCGTCAGACTCTGAAACCGCCAACAATTCAAGCTTAGCTGCCATGGACGCCTCCTCCCTCCGCATCTCCAAGTTCGATGGAACTAACTTCCACGCCTGGAAGTTCAAGATGCAGATGGTGCTGGAGGAACGGGACCTATGGGAGGTCGTCAGCGGTGAGATCAAGGCGGAACAGTGCGAGACTCAGTTGGACCAAGCGACGTACAAGAGGAAGTCAAGAAAGGCGATGGCATTGATCTGTCTAGCCATGGAAGATTCCCAGCTACCGTTGGTCCGGTCGGCAAGTGGTGCATGCGACGCATGGTCAAGGTTGGAAGACCACTTCGAGAAGAAGAGTCTTGCCAACAAGCTGTTCTTGCGCCGTCGCTTCTTCACGACAATGATGGAAGAAGGCGACGATGTGCTCGAACACATCAACAAGCTCAAGACGCTGGCGGAACAGCTAGAAGCGGTGGGGGCTCCAGTCTGCGAGGACGATCTGGTGATCACACTCCTCGGCAGCCTGAGTGACTCGTATCAATTCTTGATCACAGCTTTGGAGTCGCGCTCAGACACTCTTAGCTGGGAGCTCGTGACGTCTCGACTGCTTCATGAAGAAATGAAGCGGAAGGAGCAAGGAAGTAAAGGTGATGAAGCTTCGCAAGGTCAAGCGTTCATCACAAGGGACAATCAGCGCAAAGGGCGACCAGTGAAGAAGTCCTGGCCGTGCCACAATTGCGGAAAGATTGGTCACTGGATGGCGGAGTGTCCCTCGCGCATCCAAGAAAACACGGAGAGACACCGGCCACAGCGTGCTCAAGACAGCGGCGACCGCTATCGATCACAACGTGCAAACGTCGCTCAAGAAGAAGACTCGGGCGACTACCTCTTTTCGATCGGTGAAACGACATCTGCGAAATCGAGCGACATCTGGCTGGTCGACTCCGGGGCGACGCAGCACATGACGTGCTCCAAGAAGTTCATGCGGAACTACAAGGGGTTTGACGCTGTGGATGTCCATCTCGCGGATGATGGAATCGTCCAAGCAATCGGCAGTGGGGACATTGTCATGTCAATGAAGACACCCCAAGGGATGAAGAAAGGTGTGCTCACAAACGTGTGGCACATCCCAAAGTTATCCAGAAACCTGTTCTCGGTCGGCCGCTTCACCAAGGATGTCGGCCCAGTGACGTTCACGAAGGATGGGTGCTATGGAGAAGCGAAAGGGACCAAGTGGAAAATTGGTGCCCGTGAAGGTAAAGGACTGTTCAAGCTGCAAATGACTCCAGTGGCGCCGGAACAAGCAAATGCAGCCAAGTCGTCGGGATGTCAAGGGGGCACCAAGTCGTACCTCTGGCACCTTCGGCTTGGCCACATAGGTCACGATGGACTCAATTGCATCGTGACGAAGAACATTGGAATTGGCATCGACATATCTTCGGTGAAGAAGTGGGACGTGTGTGAAGGTTGTGCTCTGGGAAAACAGACTCGAGTGCGCTTCCAATCAAACACTACAGCTCGCACCTCCAAACTCCTCGAAGTGATTCACAGCGACGTATGCGGACCGATGTCGATGGCAACTTTCAGTGGAAAACGGTACTTCGTGACATTCATTGATGACAAGTCAAGATACTGTGTCGTCTATCTGCTCAAGAGCAAATCTGAAGTTGCGGCGAAGTTCATGGAATACGCTGCGATGGCCGAAACGCAAACCGGAAAGCGCGTGAAGTACCTTCAAAGCGACAATGGGGGTGAATACAAGTCCGACAAGCTGGCACGATTCTGCGCGGAACGGGGAATACAACAAAGGTTCACACCCCCATATACTCCTCAGCTAAACGGAGTAGCTGAGAGAATGAATCGCACGCTGGTCGAGTGTGCGCGTTGCATGATGGAACACGCTGGACTGGGAAAGAGCTACTGGGGTGAAGCAGTGATGACGGCGATGTTTCTTCGAAACCGCTGTCCAACACGTGCCATTCACCAAGACAAGTCTCCATATCAAGTGTGGACGATGAAGAAACCGATTCTGGCCAACCTTAAAGTGTTTGGATGCCACGCGTATGTTCAAGTGCCTCAAGACAAACGCGCGAAGTTCGACTCCAAGTCATCACTCTGTCGTTTCTGTTGAAAAGACAGCGGCTGTGAAGAAGACACCTCGTCAAGCTGCGTCAAGTGTTGAAGCAAGTGGAAGACCAAGCTTCGCTATACCGGTGGGTACCGGTATGTACCAGTAAGGGCGAAGTCAGGAAATGACGTCACTGGATGACGTCATTGCATGACGTCAGTGGGTGACGTCAGTGGGTGACGTCACTGGATGACGTCACTGCGAATAATAGGCTTAGAGGTAGTATTCAAAGTTGCGAACTAAGTACCTATTATAAATATATATTTACTTTGCGTTTTGCACTCGGACCAAGAAGTCTAAAGTTCATCAGGTTATGAGCCCAAGTTCGTCAGACTCTGAAACCGCCAACAATTCAAGCTTAGCTGCCATGGACGCCTCCTCCCTCCCGCATCTCCAAGTTCGATGGAACTAACTTCCACGCCTGGAAGTTCAAGATGCAGATGGTGCTGGAGGAACGGGACCTATGGGAGGTCGTCAGCGGTGAGATCAAGGCGGAACAGTGCGAGACTCAGTTGGACCAAGCGACGTACAAGAGGAAGTCAAGAAAGGCGATGGCAGTGATCTGTCTAGCCATGGAAGATTCCCAGCTACCGTTGGTCCGGTCGGCAAGTGGTGCATGCGACGCATGGTCAAGGTTGGAAGACCACTTCGAGAAGAAGAGTCTTGCCAACAAGCTGTTCTTGCGCCGTCGCTTCTTCACGACAATGATGGAAGAAGGCGACGATGTGCTCGAACACATCAACAAGCTCAAGACGCTGGCGGAACAGCTAGAAGCGGTGGGGGCTCCAGTCTGCGAGGACGATCTGGTGATCACGCTCCTCGGCAGCCTGCGTGACTCGTATCAATTCTTGATCACAGCTTTGGAGTCGCGCTCAGACACTCTTAGCTGGGAGCTCGTGACGTCTCGACTGCTTCATGAAGAAATGAAGCGGAAGGAGCAAGGAAGTAAAGGTGATGAAGCTTCGCAAGGTCAAGCGTTCATCACAAGGGACAATCAGCGCAAAGGGCGACCAGTGAAGAAGTCCTGGCCGTGCCACAATTGCGGAAAGATTGGTCACTGGATGGCGGAGTGCCCCTCGCGCATCCAAGAAAACACGGAGAGACACCGGCCACAGCGTGCTCAAGACAGCGGCGACCGCTATCGATCACAACGTGCAAACGTCGCTCAAGAAGAAGACTCGGGCGACTACCTCTTTTCGATCGGTGAAACGACATCTGCGAAATCGAGCGACATCTGGCTGGTCGACTCCGGGGCGACGCAGCACATGACGTGCTCCAAGAAGTTCATGCGGAACTACAAGGGGTTTGACGCTGTGGATGTCCATCTCGCGGATGATGGAATCGTCCAAGCAATCGGCAGTGGGGACATTGTCATGTCGATGAAGACACCCCAAGGGATGAAGAAAGGTGTGCTCACAAACGTGTGGCACATCCCAAAGTTATCCAGAAACCTGTTCTCGGTCGGCCGCTTCACCAAGGATGTCGGTCCAGTGACGTTCACGAAGGATGGGTGCTATGGAGAAGCGAAAGGGACCAAGTGGAAAATTGGTGCCCGTGAAGGTAAAGGACTGTTCAAGCTGCAAATGACTCCAGTGGCGCCGGAACAAGCAAATGCAGCCAAGTCGTCGGGATGTCAAGGGGGTGTAAGAAGTAAGAGTTAAGTAAAGTAAATGACTTGTATATTACCGCGCACCAGACGCGTTTCGGCCCCCCGCCGGGGGCCTCATCAGTGGTTTGTCAATCTACAAGTGAGAACTATCCATACGTCTAGCTGCCGTACGACCTATAATAATGCATAGAACCCTAAAGAACATTCTAGACATACCCTATCATGGGTCGAATCTCTGGAGTCGAATCCAGTGCATCATGCACTTACAACACTCCCCCTCGACGACATGAGATGCAGACCACTTTGGTATCGACCCGCCTGTAATCCTCACTGCTGCATCCGTGCACCATGGGAATCTTGATTGAGTCTTGCCCCTGCGCTCCAGCCAACCTCGATGATACCGAGCGTTCCAGGTATTCCAGCTCCCCCATCGTCCAGCACCATGTCACATCTTGACATCTCGTAGTCGTCGTTCGCCTTGCATGTAGTTTCCACTTCTTCTTGACCACAAATACACTTGTCACCACTTGACTTGACTCTTCCTTCGATAGCACTCGCGCATTCAGACCATCTCGCGTCACCACCCTTGCACAAACCCTTTTCGACTGCACGCGCACCGTCAACGATCCCTGTCGATGAATTCTTCGGCGCCTTACTCGTGCATCGAGCGCCTTCTCTGACGGGGTGTCCCTCGCACAAGTTGGTCCTTGGTGAGGTGTCTGCAGCGAGCACTTGGGCTCATAACCTGTAAGAAGTAGGAGTTAAGTAAAGTAAATGACTTGTATATTACCGCGCACCAGACGCGTTTCGGCCCCCCGCCGGGGGCCTCATCAGTGGTTTGTCAATCTACAAGTGAGAACTATCCATACGTCTAGCTGCCGTACGACCTATAATAATGCATAGAACCCTAAAGAACATTCTAGACATACCCTATCATGGGTCGAATCTCTGGAGTCGAATCCAGTGCATCATGCACTTACAACAGGGGGCACCAAGTCGTACCTCTGGCACCTTCGGCTTGGCCACATAGGTCACGATGGACTCAATTGCATCGTGACGAAGAACATTGGAATTGGCATCGACATATCTTCGGTGAAGAAGTGGGACGTGTGTGAAGGTTGTGCTCTGGGAAAACAGACTCGAGTGCGCTTCCAATCAAACACTACAGCTCGCACCTCCAAACTCCTCGAAGTGATTCACAGCGACGTATGCGGACCGATGTCGATGGCAACTTTCAGTGGAAAACGGTACTTCGTGACATTCATTGATGACAAGTCAAGATACTGTGTCGTCTATCTGCTCAAGAGCAAATCTGAAGTTGCGGCGAAGTTCATGGAATACGCTGCGATGGCCGAAACGCAAACCGGAAAGCGCGTGAAGTACCTTCAAAGCGACAATGGGGGTGAATACAAGTCCGACAAGCTGGCACGATTCTGCGCGGAACGGGGAATACAACAAAGGTTCACACCCCCATATACTCCTCAGCTAAACGGAGTAGCTGAGAGAATGAATCGCACGCTGGTCGAGTGTGCGCGTTGCATGATGGAACACGCTGGACTGGAAAAGAGCTACTGGGGTGAAGCAGTGATGACGGCGATGTTTCTTCGAAACCGCTGTCCAACACGTGCCATTCACCAAGACAAGTCTCCATATCAAGTGTGGACGATGAAGAAACCGATTCTGGCCAACCTTAAAGTGTTTGGATGCCACGCGTATGTTCAAGTGCCTCAAGACAAACGCGCGAAGTTCGACTCCAAGTCATCACTCTGTCGTTTCCTGGGATACGCCGAACACCAGAAGTCATATCGATTTGAGGAAGTGTCAACAGGAGCGATCAAGATCAGTCGCGATGCCACATTCATGGAAGACAAGTTTGATGAAGGTCCGCGCAACTACAACGATGAGTCAAGTGTCGTTGAGTTTGATGATCATGATGAGGACGAAGAAAAAGAAGAAGGTAAAACTGACGACGACATGGACTCGAGCGACGATGACAACGAAGACACCAGGTCTTCGAAGAGCAACATCAAGAGACACACGCGCACTCAATCACTTGAGAAAGCTACCGTCATTCCAAGTCCCAAGCGAAGAACATACAGAGGTCCGTCGCTTGAGCATGTGTCAGCGGCTGCAATGGATTTTGAAGCAGCCTACATCGTTGATTCAGTGGGGGAAACGCCGACTACATTCAAGTCGGCGATGGAATCAAGCGACTCCGGCAAGTGGAAAGAAGCGTGTGACTCGGAGTTCGATTCGCTTCAGAGAAACGAGACGTGGGAAATCGTGCCTCTTCCGAAAGGTCGCAAGGCCATCGGGTGCCGATGGGTTTTTCGTGTAAAGGAGAATCAAGATGGCGAAGTTGAACGTTTCAAGGCAAGACTTGTGGCCAAAGGATTCTCACAGAAATTCGGAGTTGACTATGAAGAAACTTTCGCACCGGTGGCCAAGTTCACATCGATTCGTGTGGTGCTCAGTATGGCGGCCAAGTACGGCCTAATGCTACATCAGATGGACGTCAAGACAGCGTTTCTTAACGGCTCCCTCAACGAAGACATCTACATGGACCAGCCGGACGGATACCTGGATGCAACACAGCCGGACTATGTGTGCAAGCTAAAGAGATCACTCTACGGCTTGAAGCAATCGCCTCGCATGTGGAACCAAACAATCGATGGGTTCATGATCAAGATGGGATTCAAGAAGTGCGAATCGAACCACTGCATCTACATCAAGCGAGACGACCAAGACATGATTCTCGTGGTGCTCTACGTCGATGATCTCATCCTGGCCAGCAGCAACAACGAACTCCTCAAGTCAACCAAGATGGCGCTGAGCAAACGCTTCGAAATGACGGATCTCGGTGAGCTCGATTACTTTCTCGGCATGGAGATCAAGAACGACCGTAAGACGGGAATGGTGACTGTACAACAAACCAAGTTTCTCAAGTCCGTGTTAACCAAGTTCGGAATGGATAACAGCAAGCCAGTGAAGACGCCTCAAGATCCCGGCCTGAAGCTAACCAAGAACATGTGTGAACAAGAATGCAAGCACGAAGACACCATGTGCAACGTGCCATATCGAAGTGCTGTCGGAGGCATCATGTATCTCATGGTCGCCACACGTCCGGATCTAGCTGCTGCAGTGGGATCATTATCCCAGTTCTCGTCCGACCCATGCCCGACTCACTGGCAAGCTTTGAAGCGTGTGCTGAGATACCTGCAAGCAACGCCCAATCATGGTCTTGAGTTTACACGTGAAGAAGGAAGCCGTATCTGCGGGTACACCGACGCAGACTGGGCCGGCGACATTGAGTCAAGACGAAGTACAAGCGGCTATGTGTTCATGATGAGCGGAGGATGCATCAGCTGGAAAAGCCAGAAACAACGGACGGTCGCGCTATCTTCAACAGAAGCAGAATACATGGCGCTTTCCGAAGCAACCAAAGAAGCAGTATGGCTCAAAGTGCTTTTGGGGGAACTTGGTGAGATGACAAGCGACGAAGCGATCAAGATGTATGAAGACAACCAAGGATCAATCGCTCTCGCCAAGAACCCGGAGTTCCATAAGAGAACAAAACACATCGACATACGCTACCATTTTGTGCGTGAGAAGGTGGAATCAGGTGAAGTCGTTTTGGAGTATTGCCCGACTCAAGATATGCTGGCAGACATGATGACCAAGCCGATCGCCGCTGTACAATTTGAAAACATTCGCGATCGACTTGGGATCCAAGGTGCCGCAGCCAACGAGTCGAGAGGGAGTGTTGAAAAGACAGCGGCTGTGAAGAAGACACCTCGTCAAGCTGCGTCAAGTGTTGAAGCAAGTGGAAGACCAAGCTTCGCTATACCGGTGGGTACCGGTATGTACCAGTAAGGGCGAAGTCAGGAAATGACGTCACTGGATGACGTCATTGCATGACGTCAGTGGGTGACGTCAGTGGGTGACGTCACTGGATGACGTCACTGCGAATAATAGGCTTAGAGGTAGTATTCAAAGTTGCGAACTAAGTACCTATTATAAATATATATTTACTTTGCGTTTTGCACTCGGACCAAGAAGTCTAAAGTTCATCAGTTTCCTGGGATACGCCGAACACCAGAAGTCATATCGATTTGAGGAAGTGTCAACAGGAGCGATCAAGATCAGTCGCGATGCCACATTCATGGAAGACAAGTTTGATGAAGGTCCGCGCAACTACAACGATGAGTCAAGTGTCGTTGAGTTTGATGATCATGATGAGGACGAAGAAAAAGAAGAAGGTAAAACTGACGACGACATGGACTCGAGCGACGATGACAACGAAGACACCAGGTCTTCGAAGAGCAACATCAAGAGACACACGCGCACTCAATCACTTGAGAAAGCTACCGTCATTCCAAGTCCCAAGCGAAGAACATACAGAGGTCCGTCGCTTGAGCATGTGTCAGCGGCTGCAATGGATTTTGAAGCAGCCTACATCGTTGATTCAGTGGGGGAAACGCCGACTACATTCAAGTCGGCGATGGAATCAAGCGACTCCGGCAAGTGGAAAGTGATGAACTTTAGACTTCTTGGTCCGAGTGCAAAACGCAAAGTAAATATATATTTATAATAGGTACTTAGTTCGCAACTTTGAATACTACCTCTAAGCCTATTATTCGCAGTGACGTCATCCAGTGACGTCACCCACTGACGTCACCCACTGACGTCATGCAATGACGTCATCCAGTGACGTCATTTCCTGACTTCGCCCTTACTGGTACATACCGGTACCCACCGGTATAGCGAAGCTTGGTCTTCCACTTGCTTCAACACTTGACGCAGCTTGACGAGGTGTCTTCTTCACAGCCGCTGTCTTTTCAACACTCCCTCTCGACTCGTTGGCTGCGGCACCTTGGATCCCAAGTCGATCGCGAATGTTTTCAAATTGTACAGCGGCGATCGGCTTGGTCATCATGTCTGCCAGCATATCTTGAGTCGGGCAATACTCCAAAACGACTTCACCTGATTCCACCTTCTCACGCACAAAATGGTAGCGTATGTCGATGTGTTTTGTTCTCTTATGGAACTCCGGGTTCTTGGCGAGAGCGATTGATCCTTGGTTGTCTTCATACATCTTGATCGCTTCGTCGCTTGTCATCTCACCAAGTTCCCCCAAAAGCACTTTGAGCCATACTGCTTCTTTGGTTTGCTTCGGAAAGCGCCATGTATTCTGCTTCTGTTGAAGATAGCGCGACCGTCCGTTGTTTCTGGCTTTTCCAGCTGATGCATCCTCCGCTCATCATGAACACATAGCCGCTTGTACTTCGTCTTGACTCAATGTCGCCGGCCCAGTCTGCGTCGGTGTACCCGCAGATACGGCTTCCTTCTTCACGTGTAAACTCAAGACCATGATTGGGCGTTGCTTGCAGGTATCTCAGCACACGCTTCAAAGCTTGCCAGTGAGTCGGGCATGGGTCGGACGAGAACTGGGATAATGATCCCACTGCAGCAGCTAGATCCGGACGTGTGGCGACCATGAGATACATGATGCCTCCGACAGCACTTCGATATGGCACGTTGCACATGGTGTCTTCGTGCTTGCATTCTTGTTCACACATGTTCTTGGTTAGCTTCAGGCCGGGATCTTGAGGCGTCTTCACTGGCTTGCTGTTATCCATTCCGAACTTGGTTAACACGGACTTGAGAAACTTGGTTTGTTGTACAGTCACCATTCCCGTCTTACGGTCGTTCTTGATCTCCATGCCGAGAAAGTAATCGAGCTCACCGAGATCCGTCATTTCGAAGCGTTTGCTCAGCGCCATCTTGGTTGACTTGAGGAGTTCGTTGTTGCTGCTGGCCAGGATGAGATCATCGACGTAGAGCACCACGAGAATCATGTCTTGGTCGTCTCGCTTGATGTAGATGCAGTGGTCCGATTCGCACTTCTTGAATCCCATCTTGATCATGAACCCATCGATTGTTTGGTTCCACATGCGAGGCGATTGCTTCAAGCCGTAGAGTGATCTCTTTAGCTTGCACACATAGTCCGGCTGTGTTGCATCCAGGTATCCGTCCGGCTGGTCCATGTAGATGTCTTCGTTGAGGGAGCCGTTAAGAAACGCTGTCTTGACGTCCATCTGATGTAGCATTAGGCCGTACTTGGCCGCCATACTGAGCACCACACGAATCGATGTGAACTTGGCCACCGGTGCGAAAGTTTCTTCATAGTCAACTCCGAATTTCTGTGAGAATCCTTTGGCCACAAGTCTTGCCTTGAAACGTTCAACTTCGCCATCTTGATTCTCCTTTACACGAAAAACCCATCGGCACCCGATGGCCTTGCGACCTTTCGGAAGAGGCACGATTTCCCACGTGTCGTTTCTCTGAAGCGAATCGAACTCCGAGTCACACGCTTCTTTCCACTTGCCGGAGTCGCTTGATTCCATCGCCGACTTGAATGTAGTCGGCGTTTCCCCCACTGAATCAACGATGTAGGCTGCTTCAAAATCCATTGCAGCCGCTGACACATGCTCAAGCGACGGACCTCTGTATGTTCTTCGCTTGGGACTTGGAATGACGGTAGCTTTCTCAAGTGATTGAGTGCGCGTGTGTCTCTTGATGTTGCTCTTCGAAGACCTGGTGTCTTCGTTGTCATCGTCGCTCGAGTCCATGTCGTCGTCAGTTTTACCTTCTTCTTTTTCTTCGTCCTCATCATGATCATCAAACTCAACGACACTTGACTCATCGTTGTAGTTGCGCGGACCTTCATCAAACTTGTCTTCCATGAATGTGGCATCGCGACTGATCTTGATCGCTCCTGTTGACACTTCCTCAAATCGATATGACTTCTGGTGTTCGGCGTATCCCAGGAAACGACAGAGTGATGACTTGGAGTCGAACTTCGCGCGTTTGTCTTGAGGCACTTGAACATACGCGTGGCATCCAAACACTTTAAGGTTGGCCAGAATCGGTTTCTTCATCGTCCACACTTGATATGGAGACTTGTCTTGGTGAATGGCACGTGTTGGACAGCGGTTTCGAAGAAACATCGCCGTCATCACTGCTTCACCCCAGTAGCTCTTTCCCCAGTCCAGCGTGTTCCATCATGCAACGCGCACACTCGACCAGCGTGCGATTCATTCTCTCAGCTACTCCGTTTAGCTGAGGAGTATATGGGGGTGTGAACCTTTGTTGTATTCCCCGTTCCGCGCAGAATCGTGCCAGCTTGTCGGACTTGTATTCACCCCCATTGTCGCTTTGAAGGTACTTCACGCGCTTTCCGGTTTGCGTTTCGGCCATCGCAGCGTATTCCATGAACTTCGCCGCAACTTCAGATTTGCTCTTGAGCAGATAGACGACACAGTATCTTGACTTGTCATCAATGAATGTCACGAAGTACCGTTTTCCACTGAAAGTTGCCATCGACATCGGTCCGCATACGTCGCTGTGAATCACTTCGAGGAGTTTGGAGGTGCGAGCTGTAGTGTTTGATTGGAAGCGCACTCGAGTCTGTTTTCCCAGAGCACTGTTGAAAAGACAGCGGCTGTGAAGAAGACACCTCGTCAAGCTGCGTCAAGTGTTGAAGCAAGTGGAAGACCAAGCTTCGCTATACCGGTGGGTACCGGTATGTACCAGTAAGGGCGAAGTCAGGAAATGACGTCACTGGATGACGTCATTGCATGACGTCAGTGGGTGACGTCAGTGGGTGACGTCACTGGATGACGTCACTGCGAATAATAGGCTTAGAGGTAGTATTCAAAGTTGCGAACTAAGTACCTATTATAAATATATATTCACTTTGCGTTTTGCACTCGGACCAAGAAGTCTAAAGTTCATCAGGTTATGAGCCCAAGTTCGTCAGACTCTGAAACCGCCAACAATTCAAGCTTAGCTGCCATGGACGCCTCCTCCCTCCGCATCTCCAAGTTCGATGGAACTAACTTCCACGCCTGGAAGTTCAAGATGCAGATGGTGCTGGAGGAACGGGACCTATGGGAGGTCGTCAGCGGTGAGATCAAGGCGGAACAGTGCGAGACTCAGTTGGACCAAGCGACGTACAAGAGGAAGTCAAGAAAGGCGATGGCAGTGATCTGTCTAGCCATGGAAGATTCCCAGCTACCGTTGGTCCGGTCGGCAAGTGGTGCATGCGACGCATGGTCAAGGTTGGAAGACCACTTCGAGAAGAAGAGTCTTGCCAACAAGCTGTTCTTGCGCCGTCGCTTCTTCACGACAATGATGGAAGAAGGCGACGATGTGCTCGAACACATCAACAAGCTCAAGACGCTGGCGGAACAGCTAGAAGCGGTGGGGGCTCCAGTCTGCGAGGACGATCTGGTGATCACACTCCTCGGCAGCCTGAGTGACTCGTATCAATTCTTGATCACAGCTTTGGAGTCGCGCTCAGACACTCTTAGCTGGGAGCTCGTGACGTCTCGACTGCTTCATGAAGAAATGAAGCGGAAGGAGCAAGGAAGTAAAGGTGATGAAGCTTCGCAAGGTCAAGCGTTCATCACAAGGGACAATCAGCGCAAAGGGCGACCAGTGAAGAAGTCCTGGCCGTGCCACAATTGCGGAAAGATTGGTCACTGGATGGCGGAGTGCCCCTCGCGCATCCAAGAAAACACGGAGAGACACCGGCCACAGCGTGCTCAAGACAGCGGCGACCGCTATCGATCACAACGTGCAAACGTCGCTCAAGAAGAAGACTCGGGCGACTACCTCTTTTCGATCGGTGAAACGACATCTGCGAAATCGAGCGACATCTGGCTGGTCGACTCAGGGGCGACGCAGCACATGACGTGCTCCAAGAAGTTCATGCGGAACTACAAGGGGTTTGACGCTGTGGATGTCCATCTCGCGGATGATGGAATCGTCCAAGCAATCGGCAGTGGGGACATTGTCATGTCGATGAAGACACCCCAAGGGATGAAGAAAGGTGTGCTCACAAACGTGTGGCACATCCCAAAGTTATCCAGAAACCTGTTCTCGGTCGGCCGCTTCACCAAGGATGTCGGCCCAGTGACGTTCACGAAGGATGGGTGCTATGGAGAAGCGAAAGGGACCAAGTGGAAAATTGGTGCCCGTGAAGGTAAAGGACTGTTCAAGCTGCAAATGACTCCAGTGGCGCCGGAACAAGCAAATGCAGCCAAGTCGTCGGGATGTCAAGGGGGCACCAAGTCGTACCTCTGGCACCTTCGGCTTGGCCACATAGGTCACGATGGACTCAATTGCATCGTGACGAAGAACATTGGAATTGGCATCGACATATCTTCGGTGAAGAAGTGGGACGTGTGTGAAGGTTGTGCTCTGGGAAAACAGACTCGAGTGCGCTTCCAATCAAACACTACAGCTCGCACCTCCAAACTCCTCGAAGTGATTCACAGCGACGTATGCGGACCGATGTCGATGGCAACTTTCAGTGGAAAACGGTACTTCGTGACATTCATTGATGACAAGTCAAGATACTGTGTCGTCTATCTGCTCAAGAGCAAATCTGAAGTTGCGGCGAAGTTCATGGAATACGCTGCGATGGCCGAAACGCAAACCGGAAAGCGCGTGAAGTACCTTCAAAGCGACAATGGGGGTGAATACAAGTCCGACAAGCTGGCACGATTCTGCGCGGAACGGGGAATACAACAAAGGTTCACACCCCCATATACTCCTCAGCTAAACGGAGTAGCTGAGAGAATGAATCGCACGCTGGTCGAGTGTGCGCGTTGCATGATGGAACACGCTGGACTGGGAAAGAGCTACTGGGGTGAAGCAGTGATGACGGCGATGTTTCTTCGAAACCGCTGTCCAACACGTGCCATTCACCAAGACAAGTCTCCATATCAAGTGTGGACGATGAAGAAACCGATTCTGGCCAACCTTAAAGTGTTTGGATGCCACGCGTATGTTCAAGTGCCTCAAGACAAACGCGCGAAGTTCGACTCCAAGTCATCACTCTGTCGTTTCCTGGGATACGCCGAACACCAGAAGTCATATCGATTTGAGGAAGTGTCAACAGGAGCGATCAAGATCAGTCGCGATGCCACATTCATGGAAGACAAGTTTGATGAAGGTCCGCGCAACTACAACGATGAGTCAAGTGTCGTTGAGTTTGATGATCATGATGAGGACGAAGAAAAAGAAGAAGGTAAAACTGACGACGACATGGACTCGAGCGACGATGACAACGAAGACACCAGGTCTTCGAAGAGCAACATCAAGAGACACACGCGCACTCAATCACTTGAGAAAGCTACCGTCATTCCAAGTCCCAAGCGAAGAACATACAGAGGTCCGTCGCTTGAGCATGTGTCAGCGGCTGCAATGGATTTTGAAGCAGCCTACATCGTTGATTCAGTGGGGAAACGCCGACTACATTCAAGTCGGCGATGGAATCAAGCGACTCCGGCAAGTGGAAAGAAGCGTGTGACTCGGAGTTCGATTCGCTTCAGAGAAACGACACGTGGGAAATCGTGCCTCTTCCGAAAGGTCGCAAGGCCATCGGGTGCCGATGGGTTTTTCGTGTAAAGGAGAATCAAGATGGCGAAGTTGAACGTTTCAAGGCAAGACTTGTGGCCAAAGGATTCTCACAGAAATTCGGAGTTGACTATGAAGAAACTTTCGCACCGGTGGCCAAGTTCACATCGATTCGTGTGGTGCTCAGTATGGCGGCTAAGTACGGCCTAATGCTACATCAGATGGACGTCAAGACAGCGTTTCTTAACGGCTCCCTCAACGAAGACATCTACATGGACCAGCCGGACGGATACCTGGATGCAACACAGCCGGACTATGTGTGCAAGCTAAAGAGATCACTCTACGGCTTGAAGCAATCGCCTCGCATGTGGAACCAAACAATCGATGGGTTCATGATCAAGATGGGATTCAAGAAGTGCGAATCGGACCACTGCATCTACATCAAGCGAGACGACCAAGACATGATTCTCGTGGTGCTCTACGTCGATGATCTCATCCTGGCCAGCAGCAACAACGAACTCCTCAAGTCAACCAAGATGGCGCTGAGCAAACGCTTCGAAATGACGGATCTCGGTGAGCTCGATTACTTTCTCGGCATGGAGATCAAGAACGACCGTAAGACGGGAATGGTGACTGTACAACAAACCAAGTTTCTCAAGTCCGTGTTAACCAAGTTCGGAATGGATAACAGCAAGCCAGTGAAGACGCCTCAAGATCCCGGCCTGAAGCTAACCAAGAACATGTGTGAACAAGAATGCAAGCACGAAGACACCATGTGCAACGTGCCATATCGAAGTGCTGTCGGAGGCATCATGTATCTCATGGTCGCCACACGTCCGGATCTAGCTGCTGCAGTGGGATCATTATCCCAGTTCTCGTCCGACCCATGCCCGACTCACTGGCAAGCTTTGAAGCGTGTGCTGAGATACCTGCAAGCAACGCCCAATCATGGTCTTGAGTTTACACGTGAAGAAGGAAGCCGTATCTGCGGGTACACCGACGCAGACTGGGCCGGCGACATTGAGTCAAGACGAAGTACAAGCGGCTATGTGTTCATGATGAGCGGAGGATGCATCAGCTGGAAAAGCCAGAAACAACGGACGGTCGCGCTATCTTCAACAGAAGCAGAATACATGGCGCTTTCCGAAGCAACCAAAGAAGCAGTATGGCTCAAAGTGCTTTTGGGGGAACTTGGTGAGATGACAAGCGACGAAGCGATCAAGATGTATGAAGACAACCAAGGATCAATCGCTCTCGCCAAGAACCCGGAGTTCCATAAGAGAACAAAACACATCGACATACGCTACCATTTTGTGCGTGAGAAGGTGGAATCAGGTGAAGTCGTTTTGGAGTATTGCCCGACTCAAGATATGCTGGCAGACATGATGACCAAGCCGATCGCCGCTGTACAATTTGAAAACATTCGCGATCGACTTGGGATCCAAGGTGCCGCAGCTAACGAGTCGAGAGGGAGTGTTGAAAAGACAGCGGCTGTGAAGAAGACACCTCGTCAAGCTGCGTCAAGTGTTGAAGCAAGTGGAAGACCAAGCTTCGCTATACCGGTGGGTACCGGTATGTACCAGTAAGGGCGAAGTCAGGAAATGACGTCACTGGATGACGTCATTGCATGACGTCAGTGGGTGACGTCAGTGGGTGACGTCACTGGATGACGTCACTGCGAATAATAGGCTTAGAGGTAGTATTCAAAGTTGCGAACTAAGTACCTATTATAAATATATATTCACTTTGCGTTTTGCACTCGGACCAAGAAGTCTAAAGTTCATCAAGCACAACCTTCACACACGTCCCACTTCTTCACCGAAGATATGTCGATGCCAATTCCAATGTTCTTCGTCACGATGCAATTGAGTCCATCGTGACCTATGTGGCCAAGCCGAAGGTGCCAGAGGTACGACTTGGTGCCCCCTTGACATCCCGACGACTTGGCTGCATTTGCTTGTTCCGGCGCCACTGGAGTCATTTGCAGCTTGAACAGTCCTTTACCTTCACGGGCACCAATTTTCCACTTGGTCCCTTTCGCTTCTCCATAGCACCCATCCTTCGTGAACGTCACTGGGCCGACATCCTTGGTGAAGCGGCCGACCGAGAACAGGTTTCTGGATAACTTTGGGATGTGCCACACGTTTGTGAGCACACCTTTCTTCATCCCTTGGGGTGTCTTCATCGACATGACAATGTCCCCACTGCCGATTGCTTGGACGATTCCATCATCCGCGAGATGGACATCCACAGCGTCAAACCCCTTGTAGTTCCGCATGAACTTCTTGGAGCACGTCATGTGCTGCGTCGCCCCGGAGTCGACCAGCCAGATGTCGCTCGATTTCGCAGATGTCGTTTCACCGATCGAAAAGAGGTAGTCGCCCGAGTCTTCTTCTTGAGCGACGTTTGCACGTTGTGATCGATAGCGGTCGCCGCTGTCTTGAGCACGCTGTGGCCGGTGTCTCTCCGTGTTTTCTTGGATGCGCGAGGGGCACTCCGCCATCCAGTGACCAATCTTTCCGCAATTGTGGCACGGCCAGGACTTCTTCACTGGTCGCCCTTTGCGCTGATTGTCCCTTGTGATGAACGCTTGACCTTGCGAAGCTTCATCACCTTTACTTCCTTGCTCCTTCCGCTTCATTTCTTCATGAAGCAGTCGAGACGTCACGAGCTCCCAGCTAAGAGTGTCTGAGCGCGACTCCAAAGCTGTGATCAAGAATTGATACGAGTCACTCAGGCTGCCGAGGAGTGTGATCACCAGATCGTCCTCGCAGACTGGAGCCCCCACCGCTTCTAGCTGTTCCGCCAGCGTCTTGAGCTTGTTGATGTGTTCGAGCACATCGTCGCCTTCTTCCATCATTGTCGTGAAGAAGCGACGGCGCAAGAACAGCTTGTTGGCAAGACTCTTCTTCTCGAAGTGGTCTTCCAACCTTGACCATGCGTCGCATGCACCACTTGCCGACCGGACCAACGGTAGCTGGGAATCTTCCATGGCTAGACAGATCACTGCCATCGCCTTTCTTGACTTCCTCTTGTACGTCGCTTGGTCCAACTGAGTCTCGCACTGTTCCGCCTTGATCTCACCGCTGACGACCTCCCATAGGTCCCGTTCCTCCAGCACCATCTGCATCTTGAACTTCCAGGCGTGGAAGTTAGTTCCATCGAACTTGGAGATGCGGAGGGAGGAGGCGTCCATGGCAGCTAAGCTTGAATTGTTGGCGGTTTCAGAGTCTGACGAACTTGGGCTCATAACCTGATGAACTTTAGACTTCTTGGTCCGAGTGCAAAACGCAAAGTAAATATATATTTATAATAGGTACTTAGTTCGCAACTTTGAATACTACCTCTAAGCCTATTATTCGCAGTGACGTCATCCAGTGACGTCACCCACTGACGTCATGCAATGACGTCATCCAGTGACGTCATTTCCTGACTTCGCCCTTACTGGTACATACCGGTACCCACCGGTATAGCGAAGCTTGGTCTTCCACTTGCTTCAACACTTGACGCAGCTTGACGAGGTGTCTTCTTCACAGCCGCTGTCTTTTCAACAGAAAGAAGCGTGTGACTCGGAGTTCGATTCGCTTCAGAGAAACGACACGTGGGAAATCGTGCCTCTTCCGAAAGGTCGCAAGGCCATCGGGTGCCGATGGGTTTTTCGTGTAAAGGAGAATCAAGATGGCGAAGTTGAACGTTTCAAGGCAAGACTTGTGGCCAAAGGATTCTCACAGAAATTCGGAGTTGACTATGAAGAAACTTTCGCACCGGTGGCCAAGTTCACATCGATTCGTGTGGTGCTCAGTATGGCGGCTAAGTACGGCCTAATGCTACATCAGATGGACGTCAAGACAGCGTTTCTTAACGGCTCCCTCAACGAAGACATCTACATGGACCAGCCGGACGGATACCTGGATGCAACACAGCCGGACTATGTGTGCAAGCTAAAGAGATCACTCTACGGCTTGAAGCAATCGCCTCGCATGTGGAACCAAACAATCGATGGGTTTGTAAGAAGTAGGAGTTAAGTAAAGTAAATGACTTGTATATTACCGCGCACCAGACGCGTTTCGGCCCCCCGCCGGGGGCCTCATCAGTGGTTTGTCAATCTACAAGTGAGAACTATCCATACGTCTAGCTGCCGTACGACCTATAATAATGCATAGAACCCTAAAGAACATTCTAGACATACCCTATCATGGGTCGAATCTCTGGAGTCGAATCCAGTGCATCATGCACTTACAACACTCCCCTCGACGACATGAGATGCAGACCACTTTGGTATCGACCCGCCTGTAATCCTCACTGCTGCATCCGTGCACCATGGGAATCTTGATTGAGTCTTGCCCCTGCGCTCCAGCCAACCTCGATGATACCGAGCGTTCCAGGTATTCCAGCTCCCCCATCGTCCAGCACCATGTCACATCTTGACATCTCGTAGTCGTCGTTCGCCTTGGATGTAGTTTCCACTTCTTCTTGACCACAAATACACTTGTCACCACTTGACTTGACTCTTCCTTCGATAGCACTCGCGCATTCAGACCATCTCGCGTCACCACCCTTGCACAAACCCTTTTCGACTGCACGCGCACCGTCAACGATCCCTGTCGATGAATTCTTCGGCGCCTTACTCGTGCATCGAGCGCCTTCTCTGACGGGGTGTCCCTCGCACAAGTTGGTCCTTGGTGAGGTGTCTGTAGCGAGCACTTGGGCTCATAACCTGTAAGAAGTAGGAGTTAAGTAAAGTAAATGACTTGTATATTACCGCGCACCAGACGCGTAGTTAAGTAAAGTAAATGACTTGTATATTACCGCGCACCAGACGCGTTTCGGCCCCCCGCCGGGGGCCTCATCAGTGGTTTGTCAATCTACAAGTGAGAACTATCCATACGTCTAGCTGCCGTACGACCTATAATAATGCATAGAACCCTAAAGAACATTCTAGACATACCCTATCATGGGTCGAATCTCTGGAGTCGAATCCAGTGCATCATGCACTTACAACACTCCCCCTCGACGACATGAGATGCAGACCACTTTGGTATCGACCCGCCTGTAATCCTCACTGCTGCATCCGTGCACCATGGGAATCTTGATTGAGTCTTGCCCCTGCGCTCCAGCCAACCTCGATGATACCGAGCGTTCCAGGTATTCCAGCTCCCCCATCGTCCAGCACCATGTCACATCTTGACATCTCGTAGTCGTCGTTCGCCTTGCATGTAGTTTCCACTTCTTCTTGACCACAAATACACTTGTCACCACTTGACTTGACTCTTCCTTCGATAGCACTCGCGCATTCAGACCATCTCGCGTCACCACCCTTGCACAAACCCTTTTCGACTGCACGCGCACCGTCAACGATCCCTGTCGATGAATTCTTCGGCGCCTTACTCGTGCATCGAGCGCCTTCTCTGACGGGGTGTCCCTCGCACAAGTTGGTCCTTGGTGAGGTGTCTGTAGCGAGCACTTGGGCTCATAACCTGTTGCATTGTAGATCGGAGCGAGGAAAGCGGAGCAAACGGAGCGGAGAGACCGAAGAGAGTAGAGCAGAAAACACTTGCCCAATAGTTGGAAGATTCGAAAGTGATTGATTATCGGGGCTTACTACTTACTACATGATTTATATGTGGTGCACATATAAATCATGTGAAGCGTCTCATCATCCTACGCGTCTAATCAACTATGGTAATTACCGTAAGAACTACGTCGTAAATACTAAGCTGAACAGGCGGTTCGGATTGGACCGGTCACGGTTACCAATACTGGTAGAAACCGATGACCGTCAACACGCCCCCTCAATCCGAACTCGCACGAATGCCGAGAGCCGTCGTCAAGTCCTTGTGACGAGGTCCCGAAAGTCCCTTGGTCATGATGTCCGCCATCATCACGGAAGTCTCGCAATACTCGAGCTGCACTTCCCCGCGCTTGACCTCATCACGGATGTGATGGTACTTGATGTCGATGTGCTTGGCGCGGCCATGATTCACCGGATTCTTCGTCATCTTGATGCACGACTGGTTGTCTTCACGGATGACGAGGTCCGGTCCTGGTTCGTTTGCGGCCGCCAAAATCTCGCATAGCAGGCGATGCACCCACTTGCCTTCCTGGATGGCCAGACTCAGTGCGATGTATTCCGCTTCACTCGTCGACAGCGACACACTTGACTGCTTCTTGATGAACTTTAGACTTCTTGGTCCGAGTGCAAAACGCAAAGTGAATATATATTTATAATAGGTACTTAGTTCGCAACTTTGAATACTACCTCTAAGCCTATTATTCGCAGTGACGTCATCCAGTGACGTCACCCACTGACGTCACCCACTGACGTCATGCAATGACGTCATTTCCTGACTTCGCCCTTACTGGTACATACCGGTACCCACCGGTATAGCGAAGCTTGGTCTTCCACTTGCTTCAACACTTGACGCAGCTTGACGAGGTGTCTTCTTCACAGCCGCTGTCTTTTCAACACTCCCTCTCGACTCGTTAGCTGCGGCACCTTGGATCCCAAGTCGATCGCGAATGGTTTCAAATTGTACAGCGGCGATCGGCTTGGTCATCATGTCTGCCAGCATATCTTGAGTCGGGCAATACTCCAAAACGACTTCACCTGATTCCACCTTCTCATGCACAAAATGGTAGCGTATGTCGATGTGTTTTGTTCTCTTATGGAACTCCGGGTTCTTGGCGAGAGCGATTGATCCTTGGTTGTCTTCATACATCTTGATCGCTTCGTCGCTTGTCATCTCACCAAGTTCCCCCAAAAGCACTTTGAGCCATACTGCTTCTTTGGTTGCTTCGGAAAGCGCCATGTATTCTGCTTCTGTTGAAGATAGCGCGACCGTCCGTTGTTTCTGGCTTTTCCAGCTGATGCATCCTCCGCTCATCATGAACACATATCCGCTTGTACTTCGTCTTGACTCAATGTCGCCGGCCCAGTCTGCGTCGGTGTACCCGCAGATACGGCTTCCTTCTTCACGTGTAAACTCAAGACCATGATTGGGCGTTGCTTGCAGGTATCTCAGCACACGCTTCAAAGCTTGCCAGTGAGTCGGGCATGGGTCGGACGAGAACTGGGATAATGATCCCACTGCAGCAGCTAGATCCGGACGTGTGGCGACCATGAGATACATGATGCCTCCGACAGCACTTCGATATGGCACGTTACACATGGTGTCTTCGTGCTTGCATTCTTGTTCACACATGTTCTTGGTTAGCTTCAGGCCGGGATCTTGAGGCGTCTTCACTGGCTTGCTGTTATCCATTCCGAACTTGGTTAACACGGACTTGAGAAACTTGGTTTGTTGTACAGTCACCATTCCCGTCTTACGGTCGTTCTTGATCTCCATGCCGAGAAAGTAATCGAGCTCACCGAGATCCGTCATTTCGAAGCGTTTGCTCAGCGCCATCTTGGTTGACTTGAGGAGTTCGTTGTTGCTGCTGGCCAGGATGAGATCATCGACGTAGAGCACCACGAGATTCATGTCTTGGTCGTCTCGCTTGATGTAGATGCAGTGGTCCGATTCGCACTTCTTGAATCCCATCTTGATCATGAACCCATCGATTGTTTGGTTCCACATGCGAGGCGATTGCTTCAAGCCGTAGAGTGATCTCTTTAGCTTGCACACATAGTCCGGCTGTGTTGCATCCAGGTATCCGTCCGGCTGGTCCATGTAGATGTCTTCGTTGAGGGAGCCGTTAAGAAACGCTGTCTTGACGTCCATCTGATGTAGCATTAGGCCGTACTTAGCCGCCATACTGAGCACCACACGAATCGATGTGAACTTGGCCACCGGTGCGAAAGTTTCTTCATAGTCAACTCCGAATTTCTGTGAGAATCCTTTGGCCACAAGTCTTGCCTTGAAACGTTCAACTTCGCCATCTTGATTCTCCTTTACACGAAAAACCCATCGGCATCCGATGGCCTTGCGACCTTTCGGAAGAGGCACGATTTCCCACGTGTCGTTTCTCTGAAGCGAATCGAACTCCGAGTCACACGCTTCTTTCCACTTGCCGGAGTCGCTTGATTCCATCGCCGACTTGAATGTAGTCGGCGTTTCCCCCACTGAATCAACGATGTAGGCTGCTTCAAAATCCATTGCAGCCGCTGACACATGCTCAAGCGACGGACCTCTGTATGTTCTTCGCTTGGGACTTGGAATGACGGTAGCTTTCTCAAGTGATTGAGTGCGCGTGTGTCTCTTGATGTTGCTCTTCGAAGACCTGGTGTCTTCGTTGTCATCGTCGCTCGAGTCCATGTCGTCGTCAGTTTTACCTTCTTCTTTTTCTTCGTCCTCATCATGATCATCAAACTCAACGACACTTGACTCATCGTCGTAGTTGCGCGGACCTTCATCAAACTTGTCTTCCATGAATGTGGCATCGCGACTGATCTTGATCGCTCCTGTTGACACTTCCTCAAATCGATATGACTTCTGGTGTTCGGCGTATCCCAGGAAACGACAGAGTGATGACTTGGAGTCGAACTTCGCGCGTTTGTCTTGAGGCACTTGAACATACGCGTGGCATCCAAACACTTTAAGGTTGGCCAGAATCGGTTTCTTCATCGTCCACACTTGATATGGAGACTTGTCTTGGTGAATGGCACGTGTTGGACAGCGGTTTCGAAGAAACATCGCCGTCATCACTGCTTCACCCCAGTAGCTCTTTCCCAGTCCAGCGTGTTCCATCATGCAACGCGCACACTCGACCAGCGTGCGATTCATTCTCTCAGCTACTCCGTTTAGCTGAGGAGTATATGGGGGTGTGAACCTTTGTTGTATTCCCCGTTCCGCGCAGAATCGTGCCAGCTTGTCGGACTTGTATTCACCCCCATTGTCGCTTTGAGGGTACTTCACGCGCTTTCCGGTTTGCGTTTCGGCCATCGCAGCGTATTCCATGAACTTCGCCGCAACTTCAGATTTGCTCTTGAGCAGATAGACGACACAGTATCTTGACTTGTCATCAATGAATGTCACGAAGTACCGTTTTCCACTGAAAGTTGCCATCGACATCGGTCCGCATACGTCGCTGTGAATCACTTCGAGGAGTTTGGAGGTGCGAGCTGTAGTGTTTGATTGGAAGCGCACTCGAGTCTGTTTTCCCAGAGCACAACCTTCACACACGTCCCACTTCTTCACCGAAGATATGTCGATGCCAATTCCAATGTTCTTCGTCACGATGCAATTGAGTCCATCGTGACCTATGTGGCCAAGCCGAAGGTGCCAGAGGTACGACTTGGTGCCCCCTTGACATCCCGACGACTTGGCTGCATTTGCTTGTTCCGGCGCCACTGGAGTCATTTGCAGCTTGAACAGTCCTTTACCTTCACGGGCACCAATTTTCCACTTGGTCCCTTTCGCTTCTCCATAGCACCCATCCTTCGTGAACGTCACTGGACCGACATCCTTGGTGAAGCGGCCGACCGAGAACAGGTTTCTGGATAACTTTGGGATGTGCCACACGTTTGTGAGCACACCTTTCTTCATCCCTTGGGGTGTCTTCATCGACATGACAATGTCCCCACTGCCGATTGCTTGGACGATTCCATCATCCGCGAGATGGACATCCACAGCGTCAAACCCCTTGTAGTTCCGCATGAACTTCTTGGAGCACGTCATGTGCTGCGTCGCCCCGGAGTCGACCAGCCAGATGTCGCTCGATTTCGCAGATGTCGTTTCACCGATCGAAAAGAGGTAGTCGCCCGAGTCTTCTTCTTGAGCGACGTTTGCACGTTGTGATCGATAGCGGTCGCCGCTGTCTTGAGCACGCTGTGGCCGGTGTCTCTCCGTGTTTTCTTGGATGCGCGAGGGGCACTCCGCCATCCAGTGACCAATCTTTCCGCAATTGTGGCACGGCCAGGACTTCTTCACTGGTCGCCCTTTGCGCTGATTGTCCCTTGTGATGAACGCTTGACCTTGCGAAGCTTCATCACCTTTACTTCCTTGCTCCTTCCGCTTCATTTCTTCATGAAGCAGTCGAGACGTCACGAGCTCCCAGCTAAGAGTGTCTGAGCGCGACTCCAAAGCTGTGATCAAGAATTGATACGAGTCACTCAGGCTGCCGAGGAGTGTGATCACCAGATCGTCCTCGCAGACTGGAGCCCCCACCGCTTCTAGCTGTTCCGCCAGCGTCTTGAGCTTGTTGATGTGTTCGAGCACATCGTCGCCTTCTTCCATCATTGTCGTGAAGAAGCGACGGCGCAAGAACAGCTTGTTGGCAAGACTCTTCTTCTCGAAGTGGTCTTCCAACCTTGACCATGCGTCGCATGCACCACTTGCCGACCGGACCAACGGTAGCTGGGAATCTTCCATGGCTAGACAGATCACTGCCATCGCCTTTCTTGACTTCCTCTTGTACGTCGCTTGGTCCAACTGAGTCTCGCACTGTTCCGCCTTGATCTCACCGCTGACGACCTCCCATAGGTCCCGTTCCTCCAGCACCATCTGCATCTTGAACTTCCAGGCGTGGAAGTTAGTTCCATCGAACTTGGAGATGCGGAGGGAGGAGGCGTCCATGGCAGCTAAGCTTGAATTGTTGGCGGTTTCAGAGTCTGACGAACTTGGGCTCATAACCTGATGAACTTTAGACTTCTTGGTCCGAGTGCAAAACGCAAAGTGAATATATATTTATAATAGGTACTTAGTTCGCAACTTTGAATACTACCTCTAAGCCTATTATTCGCAGTGACGTCATCCAGTGACGTCACCCACTGACGTCACCCACTGACGTCATGCAATGACGTCATCCAGTGACGTCATTTCCTGACTTCGCCCTTACTGGTACATACCGGTACCCACCGGTATAGCGAAGCTTGTGTTGTAAGTGCATGATGCACTGGATTCGACTCCAGAGATTCGACCCATGATAGGGTATGTCTAGAATGTTCTTTAGGGTTCTATGCATTATTATAGGTCGTACGGCAGCTAGACGTATGGATAGTTCTCACTTGTAGATTGACAAACCACTGATGAGGCCCCCGGCGGGGGGCCGAAACGCGTCTGGTGCGCGGTAATATACAAGTCATTTACTTTACTTAACTCCTACTTCTTACAGGTTATGAGCCCAAGTGCTCGCTGCAGACACCTCACCAAGGACCAACTTGTGCAGGGACACCCCGTCAGAGAAGGCGCTCGATGCACGAGTAAGGCGCCGAAGAATTCATCGACAGGGATCGTTGACGGTGCGCGTGCAGTCGAAAAGGGTTTGTGCAAGGGTGGTGACGCGAGATGGTCTGAATGCGCGAGTGCTATCGAAGGAAGAGTCAAGTCAAGTGGTGACAAGTGTATTTGTGGTCAAGAAGAAGTGGAAACTACATCCAAGGCGAACGACGACTACGAGATGTCAAGATGTGACATGGTGCTGGACGATGGGGGAGCTGGAATACCTGGAACGCTCGGTATCATCGAGGTTGGCTGGAGCGCAGGGGCAAGACTCAATCAAGATTCCCATGGTGCACGGATGCAGCAGTGAGGATTACAGGCGGGTCGATACCAAAGTGGTCTGCATCTCATGTCGTCGAGGGGGAGTGTTGTAAGTGCATGATGCACTGGATTCGACTCCAGAGATTCGACCCATGATAGGGTATGTCTAGAATGTTCTTTAGGGTTCTATGCATTATTATAGGTCGTACGGCAGCTAGACGTATGGATAGTTCTCACTTGTAGATTGACAAACCACTGATGAGGCCCCCGGCGGGGGGCCGAAACGCGTCTGGTGCGCGGTAATATACAAGTCATTTACTTTACTTAACTCCTACTTCTTACAGCTTGGTCTTCCACTTGCTTCAACACTTGACGCAGCTTGACGAGGTGTCTTCTTCACAGCCGCTGTCTTTTCAACACTTCTTGCTTCTTCAACTCACAGGAGCACCCATCAGCATGAAAGTGTAACCCGAAGTCGACTTGCGATCAGCGTGGTCGCCGGCCCAGTCCGCGTCCGAGTAGCCACGAAAGTCGATCTTGTCGCTTGGCTGGAAGCGGAGTCCGTGCGACTTGGTCCCTTGCAAGTAACGAAAGATGCGCTTCACCGCCGTCCAATGTTCTTGCTGCGGATTCTCCATGAAGCGCGAGACGTACCCCACAGCATACACAATGTCCGGGCGCGTCGCAGTCGTCAAGTGCATCAAAGCTCCCACAGCTTCACGAAACGGAACGTCGATCTTGGCCGCTTCGGTGCTTGCGACAAGCCGAGTGCTCAAGTCGACCGGACTTGCTGTGGCCTTGCACTCATCCATGCCGAAGCGCTTGAGGATGTCGTTGACATACCGTCGCTGGCACATTGTCACGCTGCCATCCGATTCGTCCACCAGTTCGATGCCCAGTACAAAAGTACACTTGCCACTGTCGGTCATCTCGAAACGCGTCTTGAGGTCGGCCTTCGTCTGCGCAATCAACTCGAGCGAGCTGCCGGTGACCAACACGTCATCCACGTAGACCAGCACGAGCACACAGTGACCGTCGACAACCTTGATGTAGAGACATGGGTCGAACGCCGACGCCTCGAAACCGATAGAGCATACAAACTCGTCGAAAGTCTCGTTCCACACACGTGAAGCTTGCTTGAGACCGTAGATCGCCTTCACCAACTCGAGACAGTCGAAGTCGCCATCCATCTCGACGCCTTCTGGTATCACGCAGTACACCTTCTCCTTCATCACTCCGTAGAGAAAGGCTGTCACCACATCGAGTTGGTCCAGTGGCCAGTCGAAATACTTGGTGATCGCGATCACCATACGCAGTGTCACGTACTTGACCACGGGCGAGAACGTCTCTGTGTAGTCGATGCCGTACTTCTGCTTGAAGCCCTTGGCAACGAGACGCGCCTTGTATTTCTCGACCGATCCATCCGCTTTGCGCTTGATCTTGAACACCCACTTGGTGCCGATCGCGCCTTGGCCTCTTGGCAGTTTTGCCGCACGGAAAACTCCACGAAGATGCATCGACTTGAGTTCCGCCTTCACAGCATTTCGCCAGTGAGTTTGATCAGGACCATTGATCGCGTCTTGAAAAGTCACAGGTTCTGCTAGGTCCGTTGCTTCCACTGCGTTTGCACTTGCACGCCAAAATGTTGGAGGCGTCGAGTCGTCATCTTGATCGTACACGCTTGCATCTTCTTCGTCATCAGACATCGTTTCTGGAGCACTTGATCGTCGTTTCTGGTGACGGTTGGAGACGTGTTCCGGCGCACTTGCTTGTTCCAACCCAGTTCGAGGGCGAGCTGACCGTGACATGCCGGGTCTTGCTTCACTCTTGCGCTTGCCAGTCTGCTTGTAGACGGTTTGACGCACGTCGTCCTCGTTGATCGCCAGGAGGTCGAGGTCCAACTCCGCATCTTCATCATCGTCACTTGGTCGGTCCATCGAAAAGTCAAAAGTCGATTCGTCGAAGGTGATGTCACGACTGATCACCACTTGGCCCGCCTCAATGTCGTACACTCGATAAGCTTTTGACGCTTCTTCGTAGCCCATGAACATCCCTTCACAAGCCTTCGGGTCCCACTTCAATCGCTTCTCCCTTGGTGTCAGGATAAACGCCCGACATCCAAACACGCGCATGTGCTTGACACTTGGTTTCGACTTGTACACGATCTCGAACGGAGTCTTGTGGTCGATCTTGGGTGAAGGCAGGCGGTTCTTGATGTAGATTGCCGTCATTGCCGCTTCAGCCCAGAAACACTTCTCCAGCTTTGCATGATGCAACAAGCTGCGTCCGATCGTGACGATGGTCCTTATCGCGCGTTCTGCGGTGCCGTTGGTCTGGTGTGCATACGGCACCGTGATCTGTTGTTCAATACCATGATCTTCGTAGAAGGTCTTGATGGAGTTGGTCGCAAACTCATGCGCTCCATCGTGCCGAACAAACTTGATCTTCGTGCCGAACTGAGTTTGAATCTTGATAATGTGGTTCTTGATACAGCCTTCACTCTCAGACTTGGACCGCAGACAGAAGCCCTTCATGCAACCGCTGGCTTCGTCAACCACAAGCAGTAAGTATCTGCTGCCGCCGATCGAAACTTGTTCCATTGGCCCGCAGATGTCGAAGTGCAGCAACTCGAACACACCATATTGGCGTTTGTCACGGTTGGTTGGGAATGGCTTTTGAACCATCTTTCCTTGCTGGCAACCGCGACACACACTTGGACCAGTCGAGTTGAGAGGTGCCTTGGCGTCCTTGATCATGCCAGTGGCCACCATCTTGCGCAGAACTTCGAGGGGTGCATGACCCATGCGCGCATGCAAGTCGATGGTCCCATTGCGTGTTGCTGCATTTGCCGATCGTTGAGGAGTCCGCAGCCAGTAAAGTCCATCGACGAGATCCGCTGTTGCCACGACTAGTGTGGAATTCTTGCGCTTCACTTGCATCTTGGATCCATCGAACACGACTTGGAACCTGCCACCCTTGTTGATCTGTGGCACCGAAAGCAGATTCTTGCTCATACTTGGTACGAACAGTGCGTCCTTGATCTCGATGTCGAGTTCGTCACCATTGGGCAGAACCACCCGTTCCATGATGGTTCCCACACCCTTGATCGCAGCCTTGCTGCCATCAGCCACTGATAGTTCGCCTTCCTCTCGCTCATTCAGGCTTGCAAACTTGGCCTTGTCGTTGCAGATGTGATGCGTCGCACCGCTGTCGACTGCCCACATCCCTGGCATATTCTTGCCCGTCGAAAGTCCAGCCTCCAGCGAAACCGCGAACGCAACTCGATCGTAGTTGTCATCGTAGTTGCTGTTGGTTCGCCACTGAACGTTGTTGGCTCCGCGTCCACGAGTATTGTTGCCGCCGCGTCGAGCTCCACCTTGATTTTCGTCCTTCTGCTTGGTCCAGCACCGCTCCGCCGTGTGCCCCAATTTTCCGCAGTATGTACACTGGCGAGGTTCACGCTCGGCACTGAACGCCTTCGCCGCGTCTTCAGTCTTCACCGATGTCGTCTTGTCACCTTGTCTCTTTGATGTGCTCATTCGTGAGCACTCTCACGACGTCTCGCGATCGCAGTTCCGCGCTGCTCATCTCCAAGTTGAGAACGACGTTCTCGTAGCTCTTGGGGAGGCTGCGCAACAAGCAGATCGCCACGTCCTCGTCCTCCATCTTGGCGCCGATGCTGCTGAGCTTCGCGCTGATGTTGAGGACTTCGTTGCAATGATGCATCACATTGCCGCCTTCCGCCATCTCCATGCTGAACAGCTGGCGCTTCAAGTAGATGCGTCCAGCCTTCTGCGACCCGCCGTACAGCGTCTTCAAACGCGCCCACGCGACCCACGCCTCTTCACAGTCATCAACCACGTGATGATAATCCGCGCTCATGTGCAGCAGCATCAAGCCGAACGCAATGTTGTTCGTCTTGATGTAGTCGTCACTGGCGCGAGGATCGGCGAAGGTGGGGGGTGGTCTCCCGGTTCACCACGTGCCACGCCGACTTGGTCAGGAACACGCCACGCATGTAGCGGCTCCACGTCGCGTAGTTGTCGCCGTCGAACTTGTCGATGGAGATCTTGGTGGTGGCATCATGAGCAGAGGACATCGTGCTTGGGCTCATAACCTGTTGATTGGTGAAAAGCTTGACGACCGAAACTGGGAGTGATGCTGGGAGTCTACTCGGAAGACCGGAGAAGACACTTGGGGGGTAGATGGAAGATTGGAAAGTGATTGATTATCGGGGCTTACTACTTACTACATGATTTATATGTGGTGCACATATAAATCATGTGAAGCGTCTCATCATCCTACGCGTCTAATCAACTATGGTAATTACCGTAAGAACTACGTCGTAAATACTAAGCTGAACAGGCGGTTCGGATTGGACCGGTCACGGTTACCAATACTGGTAGAAACCGGTGACCGTCAACACCAGTGAAGACGCCTCAAGATCCCGGCCTGAAGCTAACCAAGAACATGTGTGAACAAGAATGCAAGCACGAAGACACCATGTGCAACGTGCCATATCGAAGTGCTGTCGGAGGCATCATGTATCTCATGGTCGCCACACGTCCGGATCTAGCTGCTGCAGTGGGATCATTATCCCAGTTCTCGTCCGACCCATGCCCGACTCACTGGCAAGCTTTGAAGCGTGTGCTGAGATACCTGCATGAAACGCCCAATCATGGTCTTGAGTTTACACGTGAAGAAGGAAGCCGTATCTGCGGGTACACCGACGCAGACTGGGCCGGCGACATTGAGTCAAGACGAAGTACAAGCGGCTATGTGTTCATGATGAGCGGAGGATGCATCAGCTGGAAAAGCCAGAAACAACGGACGGTCGCGCTATCTTCAACAGAAGCAGAATACATGGCGCTTTCCGAAGCAACCAAAGAAGCAGTATGGCTCAAAGTGCTTTTGGGGGAACTTGGTGAGATGACAAGCGACGAAGCGATCAAGATGTATGAAGACAACCAAGGATCAATCGCTCTCGCCAAGAACCCGGAGTTCCATAAGAGAACAAAACACATCGACATACGCTACCATTTTGTGCGTGAGAAGGTGGAATCAGGTGAAGTCGTTTTGGAGTATTGCCCGACTCAAGATATGCTGGCAGACATGATGACCAAGCCGATCGCCGCTGTACAATTTGAAAACATTCGCGATCGACTTGGGATCCAAGGTGCCGCAGCTAACGAGTCGAGAGGGAGTGTTGAAAAGACAGCGGCTGTGAAGAAGACACCTCGTCAAGCTGCGTCAAGTGTTGAAGCAAGTGGAAGACCAAGCTTCGCTATACCGGTGGGTACCGGTATGTACCAGTAAGGGCGAAGTCAGGAAATGACGTCAGTGGGTGACGTCACTGGATGACGTCACTGCGAATAATAGGCTTAGAGGTAGTATTCAAAGTTGCGAACTAAGTACCTATTATAAATATATATTCACTTTGCGTTTTGCACTCGGACCAAGAAGTCTAAAGTTCATCAAGCATGACCCATTCTCGCATGTAGATCGGCACAACTGGTTCCACTTGTTGTCACATTCGCTGATCGTTGAGTCGTCCGAAGCCAGTAGAGTCCATCCACGAGATCCGCTGTCGCCACCACTTGCTGTGAGTTCTTGAGAGTCACATACATCTTGGACCCGTCAAACACGACTTGAAACTTGCCATGGCTGTTAATCTGTGGCACCGAGAGCAGGTTCTTGCTCATACTTGGAACATATAGCGGTTCTTGATTTCGATCTCACGCTCTTCACCGTTGGGCAGAACCACCTTTTCCATGATGGTTCCCACACCCTTGATGGCCACCTTGTTGCCATCAGCCACCAAGAGTTCGCCCTCATTGCGCTCTGCCAAACTTGCGAACTTGGTCTTGTCGTGGCAAATGTGGTGCGTTGCACCACTGTCGACGGCCCACATTCCAGACACGTCCTTGCTCGTCGAAACTCCACATTCGAACGAGACTGCAAACGCCACTCGATCGTAGCCATTGCCTTCATCATGATGTCCCCACTGGACATTGTTAGCCCCGCGTCCACGACCATTGCCGCCGCGTCGGGCTCCCCTGACCTTCGTTCTTCTGCTTTGTCCAGCAACGATCCACCGTGTGTCCCACCTTGCCACAATACGCGCATTGGTAGGGCTCACGCTCGGCGCTGAATGCCTTGCTTGCATCTTCAGCCTTCACCGTAGTCGCTGTCGTTGTCCCTTTTCTCCTTGACGCTTGGCATGCTCATTCGTCAGGACTCTCACCACATCTTGAGTGCGAAGCTCGGTGCTGCTCATTTCCATGTTGAGCACCACATTTTCGTAGCTCTTCTGGAAGACTGAGTAGCAGACAAATTGCAACGTCTTCGTCTTCCATCTTCGCACCGATGCCGCTAAGCTTGGCGGAGATGTTGAGGACCTCGTTGCAGTGATGCATGACGTTCGCGCCTTCAGCCATCTTGATACTGAAAAGTTGTCGCTTGAGGTAGATGCGTCCTGCCTTCTGCGACCCACCGTACAGCGTCTTCAGACTTGTCCACGCAACCCAGGCTTCCTCGCAGTTGTCCAGCACATGATGGTAGTCCGCGTTCATGTGCAGCAGCATCATACCAAACGCGACGTTGCTTGCCTTGACGTAGTCATCGGACGCTCGCGGGTCGGTGAAAGTCGGAGTCACTTCACGGTTGACAACGTGCCAGACGGACTTCGTCAAAAACACACCGCGCATGTACCGGCTCCACGTTGCGTAATTGTCTCCGTTGAACTTGTCAATGGAGGCGTTGCTGGTGGACGACATGGCGCTTGGGCTCATAACCTGTTGCATTGTAGATCGGAGCGAGGAAAGCGGAGCGAACGGAGCGGAGAGACCGAAGAGAGTAGAGCAGAAAACACTTGCCCAATAGTTGGAAGATTCGAAAGTGATTGATTATCGGGGCTTACTACTTACTACATGATTTATATGTGGTGTACATATAAATCATGTGAAGCGTCTCATCATCCTACGCGTCTAATCAACTATGGTAATTACCGTAAGAACTACGTCGTAAATACTAAGCTGAACAGGCGGTTCGGATTGGATCGGTCACGGTTACCAATACTGGTAGAAAACCGATGACCGTCAACAGTCAAGACAGCGTTTCTTAACGGCTCCCTCAACGAAGACATCTACATGGACCAGCCGGACGGATACCTGGATGCAACACAGCCGGACTATGTGTGCAAGCTAAAGAGATCACTCTACGGCTTGAAGCAATCGCCTCGCATGTGGAACCAAACAATCGATGGGTTCATGATCAAGATGGGATTCAAGAAGTGCGAATCGGACCACTGCATCTACATCAAGCGAGACGACCAAGACATGATTCTCGTGGTGCTCTACGTCGATGATCTCATCCTGGCCAGCAGCAACAACGAACTCCTCAAGTCAACCAAGATGGCGCTGAGCAAACGCTTCGAAATGACGGATCTCGGTGAGCTCGATTACTTTCTCGGCATGGAGATCAAGAACGACCGTAAGACGGGAATGGTGACTGTACAACAAACCAAGTTTCTCAAGTCCGTGTTAACCAAGTTCGGAATGGATAACAGCAAGCCAGTGAAGACGCCTCAAGATCCCGGCCTGAAGCTAACCAAGAACATGTGTGAACAAGAATGCAAGCACGAAGACACCATGTGCAACGTGCCATATCGAAGTGCTGTCGGAGGCATCATGTATCTCATGGTCGCCACACGTCCGGATCTAGCTGCTGCAGTGGGATCATTATCCCAGTTCTCGTCCGACCCATGCCCGACTCACTGGCAAGCTTTGAAGCGTGTGCTGAGATACCTGCATGAAACGCCCAATCATGGTCTTGAGTTTACACGTGAAGAAGGAAGCCGTATCTGCGGGTACACCGACGCAGACTGGGCCGGCGACATTGAGTCAAGACGAAGTACAAGCGGCTATGTGTTCATGATGAGCGGAGGATGCATCAGCTGGAAAAGCCAGAAACAACGGACGGTCGCGCTATCTTCAACAGAAGCAGAATACATGGCGCTTTCCGAAGCAACCAAAGAAGCAGTATGGCTCAAAGTGCTTTTGGGGAACTTGGTGAGATGACAAGCGACGAAGCGATCAAGATGTATGAAGACAACCAAGGATCAATCGCTCTCGCCAAGAACCCGGAGTTCCATAAGAGAACAAAACACATCGACATACGCTACCATTTTGTGCGTGAGAAGGTGGAATCAGGTGAAGTCGTTTTGGAGTATTGCCCGACTCAAGATATGCTGGCAGACATGATGACCAAGCCGATCGCCGCTGTACAATTTGAAAACATTCGCGATCGACTTGGGATCCAAGGTGCCGCAGCTAACGAGTCGAGAGGGAGTGTTGAAAAGACAGCGGCTGTGAAGAAGACACCTCGTCAAGCTGCGTCAAGTGTTGAAGCAAGTGGAAGACCAAGCTTCGCTATACCGGTGGGTACCGGTATGTACCAGTAAGGGCGAAGTCAGGAAATGACGTCAGTGGGTGACGTCACTGGATGACGTCACTGCGAATAATAGGCTTAGAGGTAGTATTCAAAGTTGCGAACTAAGTACCTATTATAAATATATATTCACTTTGCGTTTTGCACTCGGACCAAGAAGTCTAAAGTTCATCAAGCATGACCCATTCTCGCATGTAGATCGGCACAACTGGTTCCACTTGTTGTCACATTCGCTGATCGTTGAGTCGTCCGAAGCCAGTAGAGTCCATCCACGAGATCCGCTGTCGCCACCACTTGCTGTGAGTTCTTGAGAGTCACATACATCTTGGACCCGTCAAACACGACTTGAAACTTGCCATGGCTGTTAATCTGTGGCACCGAGAGCAGGTTCTTGCTCATACTTGGAACATATAGCGCGTTCTTGATTTCGATCTCACGCTCTTCACCGTTGGGCAGAACCACCTTTTCCATGATGGTTCCCACACCCTTGATGGCCACCTTGTTGCCATCAGCCACCAAGAGTTCGCCCTCATTGCGCTCTGCCAAACTTGCGAACTTGGTCTTGTCGTGGCAAATGTGGTGCGTTGCACCACTGTCGACGGCCCACATTCCAGACACGTCCTTGCTCGTCGAAACTCCACATTCGAACGAGACTGCAAACGCCACTCGATCGTAGCCATTGCCTTCATCATGATGTCCCCACTGGACATTGTTAGCCCCGCGTCCACGACCATTGCCGCCGCGTCGGGCTCCCCTGACCTTCGTTCTTCTGCTTTGTCCAGCAACGATCCACCGTGTGTCCCACCTTGCCACAATACGTGCATTGGTAGGGCTCACGCTCGGCGCTGAATGCCTTGCTTGCATCTTCAGCCTTCACCGTAGTCGCTGTCGTTGTCCCTTTTTCTCCTTGACGCTTGGCATGCTCATTCGTCAGGACTCTCACCACATCTTGAGTGCGAAGCTCGGTGCTGCTCATTTCCATGTTGAGCACCACATTTTCGTAGCTCTTCGGAAGACTGAGTAGCAGACAAATTGCAACGTCTTCGTCTTCCATCTTCGCACCGATGCCGCTAAGCTTGGCGGAGATGTTGAGGACCTCGTTGCAGTGATGCATGACGTTCGCGCCTTCAGCCATCTTGATACTGAAAAGTTGTCGCTTGAGGTAGATGCGTCCTGCCTTCTGCGACCCACCGTACAGCGTCTTCAGACTTGTCCACGCAACCCAGGCTTCCTCGCAGTTGTCCAGCACATGATGGTAGTCCGCGTTCATGTGCAGCAGCATCATACCAAACGCGACGTTGCTTGCCTTGACGTAGTCATCGGACGCTCGCGGGTCGGTGAAAGTCGGAGTCACTTCACGGTTGACAACGTGCCAGACGGACTTCGTCAAAAACACACCGCGCATGTACCGGCTCCACGTTGCGTAATTGTCTCCGTTGAACTTGTCAATGGAGGCGTTGCTGGTGGACGACATGGCGCTTGGGCTCATAACCTGTTGCATTGTAGATCGGAGCGAGGAAAGCGGAGCGAACGGAGCGGAGAGACCGAAGAGAGTAGAGCAGAAAACACTTGCCCAATAGTTGGAAGATTCGAAAGTGATTGATTATCGGGGCTTACTTACTTCTACATGATTTATATGTGGTGTACATATAAATCATGTGAAGCGTCTCATCATCCTACGCGTCTAATCAACTATGGTAATTACCGTAAGAACTACGTCGTAAATACTAAGCTGAACAGGCGGTTCGGATTGGATCGGTCACGGTTACCAATACTGGTAGAAAACCGATGACCGTCAACAGTCAAGACAGCGTTTCTTAACGGCTCCCTCAACGAAGACATCTACATGGACCAGCCGGACGGATACCTGGATGCAACACAGCCGGACTATGTGTGCAAGCTAAAGAGATCACTCTACGGCTTGAAGCAATCGCCTCGCATGTGGAACCAAACAATCGATGGGTTCATGATCAAGATGGGATTCAAGAAGTGCGAATCGGACCACTGCATCTACATCAAGCGAGACGACCAAGACATGATTCTCGTGGTGCTCTACGTCGATGATCTCATCCTGGCCAGCAGCAACAACGAACTCCTCAAGTCAACCAAGATGGCGCTGAGCAAACGCTTCGAAATGACGGATCTCGGTGAGCTCGATTACTTTCTCGGCATGGAGATCAAGAACGACCGTAAGACGGGAATGGTGACTGTACAACAAACCAAGTTTCTCAAGTCCGTGTTAACCAAGTTCGGAATGGATAACAGCAAGCCAGTGAAGACGCCTCAAGATCCCGGCCTGAAGCTAACCAAGAACATGTGTGAACAAGAATGCAAGCACGAAGACACCATGTGCAACGTGCCATATCGAAGTGCTGTCGGAGGCATCATGTATCTCATGGTCGCCACACGTCCGGATCTAGCTGCTGCAGTGGGATCATTATCCCAGTTCTCGTCCGACCCATGCCCGACTCACTGGCAAGCTTTGAAGCGTGTGCTGAGATACCTGCAAGCAACGCCCAATCATGGTCTTGAGTTTACACGTGAAGAAGGAAGCCGTATCTGCGGGTACACCGACGCAGACTGGGCCGGCGACATTGAGTCAAGACGAAGTACAAGCGGCTATGTGTTCATGATGAGCGGAGGATGCATCAGCTGGAAAAGCCAGAAACAACGGACGGTCGCGCTATCTTCAACAGAAGCAGAATACATGGCGCTTTCCGAAGCAACCAAAGAAGCAGTATGGCTCAAAGTGCTTTTGGGGGAACTTGGTGAGATGACAAGCGACGAAGCGATCAAGATGTATGAAGACAACCAAGGATCAATCGCTCTCGCCAAGAACCCGGAGTTCCATAAGAGAACAAAACACATCGACATACGCTACCATTTTGTGCGTGAGAAGGTGGAATCAGGTGAAGTCGTTTTGGAGTATTGCCCGACTCAAGATATGCTGGCAGACATGATGACCAAGCCGATCGCCGCTGTACAATTTGAAAACATTCGCGATCGACTTGGGATCCAAGGTGCCGCAGCTAACGAGTCGAGAGGGAGTGTTGAAAAGACAGCGGCTGTGAAGAAGACACCTCGTCAAGCTGCGTCAAGTGTTGAAGCAAGTGGAAGACCAAGCTTCGCTATACCGGTGGGTACCGGTATGTACCAGTAAGGGCGAAGTCAGGAAATGACGTCACTGGATGACGTCATTGCATGACGTCAGTGGGTGACGTCACTGGATGACGTCACTGCGAATAATAGGCTTAGAGGTAGTATTCAAAGTTGCGAACTAAGTACCTATTATAAATATATATTCACTTTGCGTTTTGCACTCGGACCAAGAAGTCTAAAGTTCATCACACCGAGAGCAGGTTCTTGCTCATACTTTGTAAGAAGTAGGAGTTAAGTAAAGTAAATGACTTGTATATTACCGCGCACCAGACGCGTTTCGGCCCCCCGCCGGGGGCCTCATCAGTGGTTTGTCAATCTACAAGTGAGAACTATCCATACGTCTAGCTGCCGTACGACCTATAATAATGCATAGAACCCTAAAGAACATTCTAGACATACCCTATCATGGGTCGAATCTCTGGAGTCGAATCCAGTGCATCATGCACTTACAACACTCCCCCTCGACGACATGAGATGCAGACCACTTTGGTATCGACCCGCCTGTAATCCTCACTGCTGCATCCGTGCACCATGGGAATCTTGATTGAGTCTTGCCCCTGCGCTCCAGCCAACCTCGATGATACCGAGCGTTCCAGGTATTCCAGCTCCCCCATCGTCCAGCACCATGTCACATCTTGACATCTCGTAGTCGTCGTTCGCCTTGGATGTAGTTTCCACTTCTTCTTGACCACAAATATACTTGTCACCACTTGACTTGACTCTTCCTTCGATAGCACTCGCGCATTCAGACCATCTCGCGTCACCACCCTTGCACAAACCCTTTTCGACTGCACGCGCACCGTCAACGATCCCTGTCGATGAATTCTTCGGCGCCTTACTCGTGCATCGAGCGCCTTCTCTGACGGGGTGTCCCTCGCACAAGTTGGTCCTTGGTGAGGTGTCTGCAGCGAGCACTTGGGCTCATAACTCGAAATTGTTTTTATTTTTAGTAAAAAATATAAAAAAATTAATTTATAAATATTTTTTATAATGATTTTAAAAAAATAATAGCTTATTCAACTTGCATTGTAGATCGGAGCGAGGAAAGCGGAGCAAACGGAGCGGAGAGACCGAAGAGAGTAGAGCAGAAAACACTTGCCCAATAGTTGGAAGATTCGAAAGTGATTGATTATCGGGGCTTACTACTTACTACATGATTTATATGTGGTGTACATATAAATCATGTGAAGCGTCTCATCATCCTACGCGTCTAATCAACTATGGTAATTACCGTAAGAACTACGTCGTAAATACTAAGCTGAACAGGCGGTTCGGATTGGATCGGTCACGGTTACCAATACTGGTAGAAAACCGATGACCGTCAACATACTTGGAACATATAGCGCGTTCTTGATTTCGATCTCACGCTCTTCACCGTTGGGCAGAACCACCTTTTCCATGATGGTTCCCACACCCTTGATGGCCACCTTGTTGCCATCAGCCACCAAGAGTTCGCCCTCATTGCGCTCTGCCAAACTTGCGAACTTGGTCTTGTCGTGGCAAATGTGGTGCGTTGCACCACTGTCGACGGCCCACATTCCAGACACGTCCTTGCTCGTCGAAACTCCACATTCGAACGAGACTGCAAACGCCACTCGATCGTAGCCATTGCCTTCATCATGATGTCCCCACTGGACATTGTTAGCCCCGCGTCCACGACCATTGCCGCCGCGTCGGGCTCCCCGACCTTCGTTCTTCTGCTTTGTCCAGCAACGATCCACCGTGTGTCCCACCTTGCCACAATACGTGCATTGGTAGGGCTCACGCTCGGCGCTGAATGCCTTGCTTGCATCTTCAGCCTTCACCGTAGTCGCTGTCGTTGTCCCTTTTTCTCCTTGACGCTTGGCATGCTCATTCGTCAGGACTCTCACCACATCTTGAGTGCGAAGCTCGGTGCTGCTCATTTCCATGTTGAGCACCACATTTTCGTAGCTCTTCGGAAGACTGAGTAGCAGACAAATTGCAACGTCTTCGTCTTCCATCTTCGCACCGATGCCGCTAAGCTTGGCGGAGATGTTGAGGACCTCGTTGCAGTGATGCATGACGTTCGCGCCTTCAGCCATCTTGATACGAAAGTTGTCTGAAAAAGTTGATGGTAGTCCGC